CTTTTTTGTTTAAAGCTGTCTGTACTTGATTGGTGTTAAACTAGGATGTGGATTCTATTCTTATACAGTAAATGATTTTCACCACTGCCTGACAAAATAAATGTTTAAGTGTTCTGTTTGACATATGGGTCACTTACCCTGTTCATGAATAAAGACAGTTGTTTGACATTCATACTAGGCATAAAGATTTATTGATTTTTAATGCATGGCCTTTATTCCCAAGTGAAACAATTCCTCAAGTAGTAAGGATTTTAGCACTGCAATTTTTTAACAAAAAAGTTTTAACATGTACATTTCATGTGTTAAATAGTGTCTCTATCCTCTGTACAAATTCCACATTTTAAAATGATTTATCAGAAACAATCCCTTGATGGACTAAATTAGTTCTTCCAGTTAAAGGGAATTTTACTCCTAATAATTATCATTTTCTATACATTTCTGTCTTGCCAAGTTCCTATAGGTATTTTGGTCTTGATGAAAGGCATGAAAGGTAATTTCATAAACTTTATTCTCTCTCTAGTGTTACTCTGAGTGAATTATTTCACTTTTCCTGTGCTGCAGTTTGTGAAAGTAGAACAGTACAATTTCATTAAGTGAAAAGACTCAAACTGACAGCTCGAGTTGCCTAGCCGTTAGTGCTGAAAATGCACTGCTACCTCTGCACACTGCTCTCAGCTCTGCAGATGCCATCTGTGTACTCTGCATCCAAGGCGAGGGCAAATACAGCTCATGTGATCCCACCGTCCAGGTGTTCCTGGAGAGTCCATTTGTCTTCCTGTAAAATGTGCTGGAAGCACAAGCTTTCTGCCCTGCTTTTCCAGTGGACAGCTATGCTTGGACAGGTTGTTAGTACACTGTGTTTTCCAAATCTAAGGGACAAGCAAATTATCTTTCAGAAATGAAATGTAAATTCATGCATTTATTATGTATTTCCTGAGATGTAAGTATGTACCAAGAACTGTGGTAAGATATAGAAATCAAATATTATTTCATTCATGTAAGTACTATAGGCACTTAGGAGTTTTGGGCATATGACCAAGTAGTAAGTACCTTTGCTCAGCGAATCTGTGAACCAACAATCTGATTAGACTTTTACTAGCACTCTGAAGTACACAGTTTAACCTAATCACAAACGTGGCGGTTAAATTATTGTCAGTCAAGTTCAGATTCCCGTATCTCTTCAGAGAAATACCTCTACCTTTATGTTCAGGCAGCCGTTTCTATTTAAGTAGAAATTTAACAAAGAGGCGTTGGACAATTACAATTTTTTAAAAGTTATTTTTATTGGAAAGATATTTACAGAGAGGAAAAAAAGATCTTCCCAGATGATTCACTTCCCCAAATGGCAGCAATGGCTGGAGCTGAGCTGAAGCCAGCAGTCTGCCAGGTCTCCCCCAAGGGTGGCAAGGTCCCAAGACTCTGGACCATCCTCTACTGCTTTCCCAGGCCTTAAGCAAGGAGCTGGATGGTAAAGTGGAGCAGCAGAAAATAAAACAATATCCATACGGGATGCTGGTGTTTACAGGCAGATTAACTGAGCCACTGGACCAGTCCCAATCACTTACGATTCTAAGCATGTCATTAATGTATGTTTCTCAGCAGCTGCCCACTCAGTATTCCACCAGCCCTGTTCCACAACAGAGCAAGGCCCAAGTCCCAGGCTCTTGTAACATATAACAAAAGAGCTGGGACTTTACAGAGGATACAGATTGGATGACATTATGGAGCACAGTGTATTATAAACTTCAGCCAGAATCCCAGCCGTCCCCATCTCATCTTTGGGAAAGGGTAGGACTCACACCCCGGCCTCCCACATGGGTGCACGGTGCAGGTATTTGAGCCTCCTCAGTAATTTAACTGGCAACATCCAATTCTGGCATTCCGTTCCTATTTCCCTTCTGGCACACTCAGATCAGAAACAGATACACAGTAGGATAAACACTATGTCAATGCATTTTAAAGCAGTGTTTCAGTTTTCTAAGTTTACTCAGTCTCCAGAGTCTCACCCTTTCTATCAAGACACAATTCAACACAGTGAAATGCCTTGGGCAGACACAGGGACGGAAATGAGAAGTCAACCAGATCCTCTCAACACCTTGGCAACTTTATGAAGTTCTATGGAACATAATTTGAAAACCATCATTCTCTCTCTCTCATCATATATATATGAACAACTGTTTTATAACAAGCTGTGAACAGCTTATTAACAGCTGTGAATATTTGCTTAATAGTGAGTGTCTGGGCATTTTATGATTTCTGTGCCTCCCATTTTTTCTTACGTAAGATTTTTGTCGAAACAACATGGTATCATTAGAACCAACAAAAATCACAAATGGTATCGCTTGCTACATTTTGGTTAAAATGAGGGCTTGGGGCCCTGCACCGTGGCCTCCCAAGAATGATGGCATCTGCCCTGAAAGCAGCTGTACACCTGAAGTTGGTACAAAGTCTCATGGACTGTACACTGCTCTCAAAGATTTGCTTAAGCCTCTTAAGCTTGATAATGGCTTCTGTATGTATGTTCCAATAAGATACTGTAAATCCCAATGCATCTAGTTACTCACAAATGCTCATTTTAATCCACAAAGCTCAGAGTTCTCCCCAGTGAGACTGCTACAGAACTGCACAAACATAAAGCAGGGCCAATTTAAGGCAGTTGGTGATGGGAAGTAAGTGAATATGAAATAGGAATGTTTTTATTAATGTATCAAATGATTTTAAACAGTGTTTAAAATGATCAAGAATGGCTATAGGATCAGCAAAGCAGAGAAAGTTTGCTTTTGGGTGCCTTCTAATTTATGTCAGTTTTAGTAATTTTTCCTTCATATTCCAACTCATTTCTTAACTCTGTGGTGGTCTAGTTCCTAGGACTTAGTTTCTTCTTTGTTCTGATTCTGCTTTCTGGGGAATGGAAATATATAAATAAACCCCAAGTCTCCAGGACTGCTTCCCTTTCCCATCACAATTTCACCCTCAGATGGTTCTCTGGCTCCTGAAATTTGGCCCACAGGATCCCACCAACAAGTACCAAGGGGCACTGTTCATCCCCAAACTTCCCAATGTCATCCGTTTTTCTTCTAAGATATGGAAACACCATCACGTAGACTCCCATGCCTAAAAATCCCAGAAGAGTTTTGCCCTTCTTACCAGGAGTACAGGCCCACTGTCGGGGGACCTGGACCTTTGCCTCTGTTCTAAGTGTACCATTCAGAGAAGTTGGGTCTGTAATATTTATGAAACAACATGCTGCATTGGCCTTTCCCCAGCTCTTCTACAAAAGAATGAAGGCCCAAACTACGAAGTTTTGGCTTCTTCCAAGTTTCCTTATGGAACAAGTTTTTCTCTCTGTAGGAGACTCAGGTCCCTCTGAATATGCAATTGTGAAAAAACCCAGGCCATGGGAAGAGGCTGGTTGACTCAGCCTGAGGAAACCTGAAGCAGCCTGCCCTGGGTTTCTGCCCCAAGAAAGCAAGACATGGTATGCTAAGGACATCCTACAGGTGGTCTATTTTAGGAGAGAATAGCCTAGGTTCTGTACCAATCTCTGCCATCTTAAGCTGATGCGTTTCCAGCACATGGTCCTTTCGAACTACAGATGAGAAAAAGGATGGTTTGAGCACAGCTGCAGATCTCTTGAGTCGTGGCGGTTCAGCTGTCAGAGTAAACTGCAAGCAACAAAGACTCTGTGATGAAACTGCAGCCAGGTAACCCTGATGTTCCAACACTTCAAGTCCTGGTCTTAGGGAGACAGGGGGTAAGGTTTAAAAGCCTAGCTTGGGAAGAAGCACCAAGTCATAAAAATTAGCCTGATTTCTCATGTACAGCAGTAACTCTTTCTAGTTTCTCAACTCTGGTTTTACTGAGCTTTCAATCATTCCCCTTCCTGTTTCCTTCTTTTGCCATTACAACAGTATTACCTGTACAGAAATTCAGTTCATGCTGGATTATTCTTATTGCAACAGTGTATTACCGGCTATGATTTGTTTTTGGCATTGTAGTGCCTGGCTTTGCCTATCTTTGACATGTTCCAATTTGTATTGTTAAGGAGTCATTCAGGCAAAGTTCATCTAAAAAATTTAGGGAGCATCCCTTGCTCTGGTTCTTCTGTAATTTCTCCCTTCCCTCTGGAAGCAGAAATTATCCCAGTCCTCCAGACCAGGCCAAAAGCAGACCTTTTACTGTATTTGAAGCTACCCCACAGCTGCAAAAACAGCAGCTGTGTCCTGACTGTTGTTAGTACTCAAGTCAGTAGTGCAAAAACACTGATTTTAATCTGTCCCATTCTCTTCCTCCAAATTTCATCTCCCATCCAATATCTTCCTATCGGGTACCTATTTCCGGTGTTTTTGCAAATAATCTTTATTATATGTGGAACTGTTGGCTTGTTAGGTTACTCCATATTGCAAGAGAAAGTTTTTAGTCTTCCCTTTGCATTTCTTGCTAGCTTACCTGCAATGCCAAAAGCTAACAAAGATTCTTTCAATGACTGAGGTTCTTGGCCATTAACACTCACAAATGGCATACTGCTGATAAAGCGATAGCGCTTACATTTCATACAATGAATGCAAAAATCAGGGTTTCAATACCTAAGTGATGCTCAGGAATTATGCATTTCCAGAATAGAGATGTTCAACCAACAAAGTATATAAAAGTATTTCAAAATGTGAAAACTGAAATCTGAAACACTTTTGGTCCCCTGCAATTTATCCATAGTTTCCTAAGACCAACTGCCACCAATTCTATCTTGATTGCTGCTCAACTGTTGTCCCTGTGGGCAAATTTAACTTCTCTGCTTAGTTCAATTTCCTCAATTATTATTGTGATGATAAAACCAGCCCTTAACTCACTGAGTTACTATGAGGATAAAATGTAAAAATATATACATATATACAAATGAGCAGTGTTTGCCTTAAACAAAGTGTGATAATGTTATGTTGTATTGCTGATATGAAACATCTCTATTCCGTGCAATATCTTCTTCTAATCAAAGAACAAGGATATTATTCACAAAAATTTAATGTATGTTTCAGAATTTCCGAAGAGCAAGATCATATACATAACACAAGCATTAGGAATGTATACAGAAGAAACTGCCAAAGGAAAGAAAATTAGTACATAAAGCAAAATATTCAACCTTGTTTTTAAACAGGAGATACAAGCTTTCATTTATCTTTGAGACTCAACTTTCTGTAGCAGCATTTTCAACTTTTCTCGCACAGCAGACAGAACCAGTTCTGGAATCAGTCCTTTCTAATTTGTCCCATGTTATGAACTACTTGTATGTTGTATAACAGCTCCAATAGGAATAGAGAATGAAGGGTGAGACGTGCAATCCAGGGCTGGGAAGCATAAAGGATAATAGCAATAAAGACCAAAAATTCAAATCAGGAGAGGATACAGCAAGATTTGACTCAAGATCAGACTAGCTTGTGTCACAGCTTATAGGATGCAATCTGAAGGCACTGCTCTGGCATGGCCACAGATACGACAGACAGTAGTAGAGGTGTTTGAAGCTCCATCTATCCAGGTCTAATGGAATTTTACCCTCTAAGTTGGAAAGCAAAATACACTAAGAAATACAATAATCACCAAACTTTGAAGTTATTTTTGGTAGGACAGATGGATCTATATATCTATCAGACTCAAAAATAAATCTGATTTAGTCTGCTGGGCCCTACACTCATTCAATAGTAATAGGTCATTATTGACTAAATTATGAAAAGGTTGCCACAATCTTTAAAAACATTAGTTTTCAGAAAATCAGAGAGTAATTAAACATCCTCACAGCCGCAAGCATCTGTTAAAATACTTAAAAAAAAAAAAGTAAGGTTGTAAGACCCATTGTAAGTTTAAAGAGACATGATATTCAAGCATCATTAAAATGAAGTAATCAGTTTCCCAACTCGGAATTTGGCATTGTACCTCAAGGGACTAGCTTCCAACAGCTCAAGCGCATCCAAAAAAGCTTTTTTTTTGTTCCCATTGTTGGTCTAGCTACTTTATAATTCTTCCTCACCTAGATGACTTTATTAGCATCAAAAAATAAAAATATTACCTTAGGAATTAAACTAATTAAAAGCTGACTATCAGCTATATTTATCACATAATTTAATTTCCTCTGTTTCTTTCTACTGTTGCATTGACATATAGAATTTGACAGCAACCAGGTATCTCATGCTCCCTAATGTATAAAAAGACATGCGTAAGAAAAAGCATTTGATGACAGACATAAAATCACTACCACGGTAATTGTACCATAGTTACACTAATTAAAAAGAAGAGTCTATGCTCATTGTGATAAGTGATAGAAATGAAAATATAAGTTAAATAACAAAATTCGTTTTTAACACACTCAATCCCAAGCTGTAAGTTTGTACTTCAGAAGAGAAGCTGCAGGAGCACATCTGTCACTTCCACATGTGGTCACTTGGGTCCTTTTGCCTTGGATTTTTTCTCCTTTGGAATCTTTTCATTCTGACTTTGAGTAAATCTGGTTACTGTAGAAACACCATCCACAAACTTGGTTTTGAAAAGAACGTTTGCATTGTTGAACATACCTTCCTTCAGGGACACCACAATGAACTTAAGGTGGAAAAAAAAGACAAAACTCAATATTGAAAGAGTTCACACTTTTCTGGGGTTAAAAATTGGAGATACTTAAAGTAATAACACAATGATGTCCAAATGAACGTGTGACTTCAAATGAAAGTAACAAACAGTTATGCTATCAGACGTGTAAATGAATCTACTTTTCCATACTAGGTTTTACAAATCTCTTAAATTCAGTGCTTCACTACCCAAGTAAATAGTCAACATTTCCTTATATTTAGTTACCATTTGTAGCCAATATTCACTGTTTTTTCCTAGTACTAACTACTATCCTAGTGAGATATTTGTTATACATACACATATTCAAGATATAGTTATTTGAAAGCCTGAGTTAGGGAGAGAAATTCATTCCTCAAATGGCTGCAATGGCAACGGCTGGTCCAAGCTGAAGCCAGGAGCCAGAAGCTTCACCTATAGGTCCCATGTGTGTGCCTGGGCCCAAGCACACGAGCCAAGGAGCTGAACTGGAAATGGAACAGTTAGCATTCAAAAACAACTCCCCAGTACGGCCCTCAATGACTTCAACAGTTAGGTGGTATTTCAGTCACATAAAAAGCTTACGCATTTCCAACAGCTCCACCCCACCCCAGATTTGGAGGCTTTAACTTTAAAGTATTCTAAAATACATACAAACTCTTCTTAGCTTCAACAAGTTTTTTATTCTTTAATTTAGAGAAATGAAATTTCCTTATTGAGTGCCATAGACTTTCTGATAGCTAAGGTATATCTCAGTTTTGATTGTATATCCTATGGCAGCTGGCTGAAGAAAAACAATTATATTAACCCTAAACCAATTCTAAACTGGATTCTCCCTCATGCAACAAATTTGAATGTCTGGGTCTTTCCTCAAAGATATACTAAAACAATCTAGGATTATTTAAACATAAGCTAACATAAGTAACACAACGAATGCTTCAGAATACTCTTGAATCTTAAATATGTTAACACTGACCACTACAAAGGAACAGCTGTACAAAAGCAAGCATTCTGCACACACTGCAGCTGACAGTTTTCTTAATGTTTTTACCTGAGAATGTGTGAAATGAGTCCGCAACATCTGTCCGATATTCTGCGTATGAGAAAGATCCAAGGCCGCATCCACTTCATCCAAGATATAAATTGGAGCAGGTTTGAAGAGCAGCATAGACAGTATTAACGACAAAGCCACTAAAGACCTACGAAAAGTTGAGAGGAAGAAAGCTTACATTTAGTACTGATTACCAAAACCCTAAACCAAATTTGTAATCCTATTAGGACAAGCAGTTCTGGGTGAGAGTCATACAAAAAAATAATGTTTAACTTTAAAACCTCAGTTTTTCTGTATTAAAATAGCTTTCCATTTTTCTTTTCATAGCATTCTTTTTTTTTAACAAGACAATTTTGATAATGTAATATTTTGGCAGCTATTTCGAAGAAAAGGTCATGTAGTTTCGTAAGCCCTCCCTTTTCCCTAGTTGCAGGTAAGAGAGGGTTATATCAACTACCCAACACAACAGGCACCATTTGTAGAGCATGACTGACTTAGGTTGTGAGGCATGCACACATACAGATACTCTTCAGCACCATTTGCTGGTACACTAAATAGGTTATGATCCATTACCTGAAGCATTTCAGTGTCAGTAGTTCAGCCAATTCTTATCAGAGAGCAGTTACACCTGTGCCCAGATGCCTTAGCTCCTATCTTCTACATTACTTATCACATCCCATAGCTACAAATGTTTTCATGCTAATCTGTTACTGGAGAGTAATAGTCTACATTCTTCTTAAATTAGGCTTTTAAAATATCTTTATAAAATATTTTCTAAAATACTTATAAATTGGTGTTGCATAAGTAGCCAAACACTTGTATCTACAGCATCAAAATAACTTAGAATACAGTAGAATGAATAACCCAATGCTTATAGAATTTCAACAGGGTACTGATGAAAGAACAGATGGGGGGGGGAGGTTCTATAGTAGAAGGGAAGCAAGAATTTCTACAGTAGTACAGCAAAAAACAAAGTTGAACCACAAGAGACACTGCTTTTCGTTTTGCTTTTTCTATGCCAAACACTTAAGGCATTACGCTTTAAACTTACTGAGAGATATTTTCCTAATTAAGATTAAGAGTTTAATTGCTATACTGACTCACAATGTACCTAAAAAATAATTTTATTGTATCTGCAGTTTGTGGGAGAACAGAATGGAGGTCCAGGCTCCCGGCCTCTGCCTGACCCATTCCTGGCTGCTGAACCCATTTGGGGGAAAAAAGCAGAGGTTAGAAGATGTGCCTTTCAAATAAATGAATACATAAATAAACAGATCTTAAAAATATGTATTTTCTACATAATGATGCTGGGACCTAAATTGTGAGATTCAATTTTGATTAACAGGCAAGTCGAACTATCTTTAATAACATTCCTAGATATTTTAAAATATAAATCATTAAAAGTATGAGCAGAAATGTATTTCTACTGAAGCCACAAGGATGTTCATGAAAAAAATAAACTGATCGTGATTTCCTACAAGTAAGCGTTACAAGATGGCATTATAGATATGAAATCAGTTCAAGGGAGATGAATTTTACCTTCTGCAGGAGAAAAAATTACAGATGTTTACATATTAAAATTAGTAATTTTATCTCAGGTTTACTTGGCAGCCTGCAGGGAAGACATTAAGTCACAATCCGTTTTAAGTGCCTACCCACGTGCTGAGTTTATGCACCACTGTGTACGGCAGAGAACGGGATCTAACGCCCTTCGTTCCCTTCTATAAATCAAGGCTCCATCTGGTATCATCTACTTTGGCCTGAGAACTTCCTTCAACCTGTAGTAGTTACGCCACTCAAGTTTTTCTGTAAAAGTCCTTGACTTTCAATCTGAAGAGTCCTCTGTTAGATACAGAATTCTAGACTGACACGTTTTTCTTTTAGTCCCGTATAGATAATCTAGACATGTGGCCTGCAGAATTTTGTACAAGAATTAATATATCTGTTTTTCCCTGGCTTTTTTTCCCAAAATTTTCCTCCCAATCACTGGCTAACAAGCTTTACACATGCCTTACAGTATTTCCATGTTTATCTGTCCTACCCGGAATTCACAAGCACCACAATGTATGGGTTTGGAACTATCATTTCCTCAGTATTTTTCTGTCTTCTTTCTTCTGAAACTTCCCATACATCTGCATTAGACAACATCCCAACGGACATTTAGGTTGTTTGTCAAATCTGCTAACATTAGGCAGTAAACTTTATTTCAAGATCATTTTCCTGAGTTCCACTTGATTAGCAGCTTCTATGTTCATATTTTCTTGGTAATTCTTGAAAACAGATCATCTATAATCTAACAACTCCCTACCCTTCTACTTTACTCTCATTTCTGGGTCTGACTTTATTGGCTGATTCTTCTCTACAGTTTCATTTCTTTGATTTTTTGCCCTGTTTTTAATATTCTTAACACTGTAGGAACCATGTTTAGTGTCCCAATTTCATTGTGTTCCTTCAAACAGCATTGGACTTTGTTCTGATGAATTAAGTATCATGCAAAACAGTCTCATCTCTTCACATTCTGCTTGGTTTCCTAGGATATGCCCAGGCTAGTGTCTTCACGTCAGGATTACTACAGACTAATTGTTCTCTGGGACTTAAATTTCAACATGTGTTTCTTGAATTTACTAAGACTACTGATCTCTGGATTCCCTTCCTTGCTTCCTAGTCCAGAAATCAGTAGGTAGAAAACTGGAGTTTAAGAAGGTTCAGCAATTTTGTTTCCTCTTTTAGGTACAACAGTCCCTGACAAATCCTTTCTAATGTTGCAAATATTTATTTTTCATCTGTTACATCTGGTGTCCTCACTATTCCGCTTACCTTTACTGAAAACTAATCTAATCAAATACTCCAACTAAAATTTTGAGCCTTTTACTCCTGAAGTTTTTTAAACACTATTTGCAAAGGTGAGCAAGCAAATAAAAACTAACTAGTGAAATGATAGATTATGATAAAATAGTAAGGATTAAAAATGGTAGTATTACAAAAGGATTACTCACCTCTGGCCACCACTAAGTTCAGTTAGGTTTTCTTTCCAGGTATTTCCTAAAGCAACCTTAAACTCCAGGCCGTCCAACACAGTCTGTCCCTCTGGTGGTGCAAGCATAGCATTAGCACCAGGCAACAAAGTAGAAAAAATAGATCCAAAGTCTTTGTTCACCTGGATTAAAAAAAAAAAAATCAACCATAATGCTTTTCAAAAATAATAAATTATCACGTTTAAGCAATTCAGGAGATTCACTGTGTTGTTTATTTCAACACAGGAATTATCAAACTGTGGCCCATGAGACTAATTTAGCTCTGCCCGTTCATCTACACGCTGCCTACAGCTGCTAGTGCTGTAATAAATCAAGCAATGGAACAGAGACTGGATGGACCAGAAAGCTAAAAACGTTTATTATCTGCCCATTTACAGACACTTTACTGAGCCTACCCTAATATCCAGGGGAGCTGGAGACTTTATCACTCTACTCCCCAAGCTTCATACTTAAGAATTTCATGTAGGAATCCTCATGCGACGCAACCGAATCGCAGAAGGAAAAAAAAATCAAAACAACCAGAGAAGCAAATACAAAACTGAAATGTGTGACATAAACTTTTCTCTAATACATTTTTTTCTGTTGGCTAAGAATAGATGGTCCTATGGTACCAACAAAAGACTTAAGCAGATTAGGATAAGGGGTGCAGGAAGAAAAGGCATAAAATCAAGGGACCATATCTGTTCAAAGTGTTAAGAAAAATTTGTTTCCCATCTGCCTCGCTGTAGAGTAAAAGTAGGTAAAAAATTGAGGATCAGAAATAGATTGGGATCCAAAGAGAGAAAGGCTAAGGAAACTATAGGACAGTTTACTTGTTTTGACACATAAGGAAACTACACAGGGTTTACGGCCAACATCCTAGATAGAATATGGTGATTTTTATGCATGCACACCTGATCAATGGTCTGCAAATTTGGTCATTTGTCTTCAAAGACATGACTATTTAATCAGAGTTCAATAGGCAAATTTGAGGGATACAAACACTCCATGGTTTTGGAAGAAATGTTCTACAGGGAAATTCTGAATTCAAATACAGGTATGCAAAATCCCAATCTAAATACAGTTTAATTAAAAGGCAAATGCACAACAAGACAGAGTTGCTATTAGCTGGTTTACCCCCAAAATGTTTGCAATCACTTGACTGCTAAAGCCAGGAGACAAGAACTCAATCCAGATCTCACATGTGGGTAACCATCATCTGCTTTTTCCCAGGGTATTTATGGATTAGTATGAAGCTGGAACTGAGAATACAGGCAGACTCCAGCAACAAGGGAGCTTTGAGATACAGCTGTACTCCTGAATTTATATCCAGTAAAAAACCCATCTTGTAAGAGCAGTAACACACGTTGAGAAATAACTGACAAAGTAGCAACAGGTTCTAGTTTACCTGGGATAATTTCTAGAACTATACAAATGTCATCAAAAATGGTGAAAGGAATACTTATTTTAAAAACCCAGAAGGTGGCAGAGTATTTATAAATGTCCTGGGTTCTTATTTTTGATATCCTTTCTGGCCAGTCCAGGGAGAAGTAGCTCAGGACAAAGAAAGAATGTTACTTAACCCTGAACACACCACAGATGACATTTTTTGTGTGGACAGGTTTCCAAAAAAGAAAATAGAAACTTATATATGGCTGTATTCTTGCTCCATACATTAACATAGGTAGATCTAAGGATAATTCAAAAGGTTTGCAAAATGAGACTAAAAGGTAAGTTTTCTGTTCTAAAATTCTTTTGGATTTATGAGCTGCTGTATATACATGCTGCATATGTATATATGAATATATCCACAGAACTATATAAAGATAAAATGCAGTAATTTTGTAAATCTAATAAGGCTAATACGAAAAAAAATCCCACAAAACTGCATAAAAATACTCTGGTTAAATGAATCAAGTATGCTTTCAATTAGAATGAAATATATAACGTTGGCAATAATAGTAGCTTCCTCATTAAGCACTTGTGACTGAAGCAGAACTAATTTCAGAATACTAACATTATAGGCAATCAATATAGATAGATAATCAATACATATTACTTGTTTTGGAGAAGAATCGGTTTAAAGAATAGGCTCTGAGAAGTAGTAACCCAGGAGCTAGAACTGCATGCTCTACAAGAATACATGAGGTCACCTTTCTGCATGCACCTTTTTCAAAGAAATACTACACAGAGTTGATCACTAAGTGAGTCTTTCAGTAGGAAAAGCATGGTGACTTAAAAGGAATTGAAGAGGAGTTAAGGTGCCCAATTTAGTTCCGGAAGGAAGAAGTTTGCTGAATAACTATGGAGTTGCACGTCTTCTCACAGTTCAAATGAGAAAACCTCCACATGAGAGATTAAGGAATTATCCTACAGGAGACATATATATGAAGCCAGGAAAGCAGAAATCTTTCCAACTGTAAAAAAAAATTTTTTTAATTGATTATACTGAACAAGAATATTGTAGAAAGAAAATATTGAACTTGCTTATTGTTCAATTTTCAAAAAGTTAAAGTAACAACTAGCAAGTTTTTTTCACTAATACAGAGAACAGACTTCACTTATTTTTTGATAGGATTTCTGCCTACTCTGTAGTCACAAGCTTAACGTACCACTAACCATAACATGAAAAAGTAGGTGTCAGTACCAAGTTATTATTCCTATGTCTGTAGCACTGATATCCTCTAATCCCAACTGTTCTACTTTGAATCCAGCTCCTTGCTGGTGGCCTGAGAAGGCAATGGAGCATGCCCCCTATACATACATGGGACACCTGGAAGAAACTCCTGGCTCCCAGCTGTGAATTGGTCCAGTTCTGGTCCTGGCAGCCATTTGGGGAATGATCCAGTGGATGGAATATCTCTTTCTGTAACTTTTAAAGTAGATCATCTAAATCTTAAAAAACTAACAAATATAAAAATTATAGTTCCTTGGAGCCACCTATGATGTACTATATCATCATATAGGAAATGGTTCCTGTCCCAGCTGCTCTATTTCTAATCCAGCTCCCTGCTAATGATCTGGGAAACACAATGGAATGACCCACGTGGGTTCCTGCCACCTACCTGAGACCTGGAAGCAGCTTGGCCTTCTGGCTTGGCTCAGCTCTGGCCACTGCAGCCATCTGGAGAGTGAGCCAGCAAATAGATCTGTCTCTTGCCCTCTTTCTGTAAATTCTTTCAAATTAATGATCTTACCAAAAAGAGAAGAAAAAGTTCCCAGGAGTATGAACAAGGGCTTAAAAGAACCATCAAACACAAGTTGTCCCTATTGTTGAAAGGACACTGTAAACTTTGTTTCTAATGTGACAACACAGAAACCCAGTTCAAACTTTGGCTACAGGATATGACTGGGATTATTTCAAAACACTTATAAATCATGTTTTCCTCATCTATAAAGGAATCGGGTAAAGATAGCCAAATTGGGGCCCGGCATGGTGGCCTAGTGGCTAAAGTCTTTGCCTTGAACGCACTGGGATCTCATAGGAGCACCAGTTTTAATCCCAGCAACTCCACTTCCCATCCAGCTCCCTGCTTGTGACCTGGGAAAGTAGTTGAGGATGGCCCAAGGCCTTGGGACTCTGTACCTGCTTGGGAAACCCGGAAGACGTTCCTGGCTCCAGGCTTCAGATCAGCGCAGCACCGGCCGTTGTGCTCACTTGGGGAGTGAATCATCGGATGGAAGATCTTCCTCTCTGTCTCTCCTCCTCTCTGTATATCTGACTTTACAATAAAAATAAATAAATCTTAAAAAAAAAAAAAGATAGCCAAATTGCTGTCTAAAGGTGCCTGGTGCACTTCCTTCTGTAACAAGAGAAAACTAAAAATCCAGTAGGGATATGGCCGAGACAATGAGAAACAAAGATACACGCGGGTTTTATAAAGGGAAGTCAGCACATAGCAGCTACTTTTCTCTCAAGACCAATGCTGAACAAAGAGGAACTTCAATAAGGCAAGGTGAGCAGTAAAACTCCAGTAGTACCCTCTCATATGACACACATTCAAAATATTGGCTGCTGAAGCAGGGTTTAATTCTATTGGATTCTCAGCACAGTTTGAGGAGCATCTGGGCTACTGTGCCATGGCACTGCCCAGAGGAAAAGGTCTGGCCTGTGCTATTGCACCTTCCCCAGCCCACTGCTTAGCTCCTTCACAGAGCCAACAGGTACCCTAACAACCCAGGGACCTGTGAAGCAGTCCCAACAATAGAGCCAGCCTACCCTAAGCATCATGGCTTGTGAGGAACCCTAGAAAAGGCATAAGCTGCACGGCCCACCCACAACTGGTCTGGGGAAGTAGCAAATAATGACCCCTGAGCTGCACAGCAGAGACCCAGAGAGACAGGGCACTGCCCTTTCCTGAATGTGGAAGTCCCAATGAAATTATGATGCTCACAGTCCTGTGGCCCCAAGAAGCAGTTGGACACCCTGTACTCAGAAGTTTCACCCACTTGAGGCCCTGCAAAGCATACATTCAGCCACCTCTAACCACTAGATAGGGAAACCATCCTGAGTAGATTGGCCCCAGTATCAAAGTTAAGTCAGACAAGTGTCACAATTGGTCCCATAGCAGTCCCATATTGTCACCAATAAAGTTATGTACACTGGATGCCATACTAGCCAGGACTTAACTGAAAGGTACCCCTGTGGTGTTGCTGCCAACACATGGCTCTTGGAAGCTGACAGGAGGCCTAACTCACAGCTGGGCCCACTATGCCAGTTACCAGTGAGCCACCACTGCCAAGGAGTCTGCATCTCTGCTGGCAACAGCATGCAACCACCCTGAAAGATGAGTCTACTGAGATATCTACAGACAATGTTGACATTGATGACAGCAGAATCAGCTGCCTGGACTCTCTAAGTTAATGCTTTAATTGTAAAGCAAATACAATAAACTATGACGCACTGTCAGCAGAAAATCTTTCAGGATAGAGGCCACCATAAAAACTTGGTAGAGCTAAATTATCAGTTGAACAAATATCAACACACAGACACAGATGTGTGGAAAGCTAACATTTAAGTTCCAAAGGAACATAAAAATGAATCCCAACAAAAAGGAAGCCAATAAACTGCCCAGACAAGAAGGAAAACAGGGTTTAAGGAAGCTCAAGAGAATACAGACAACTCAATGAAGTTAATTGACTAATCCCCCCCCTGCAAGATTGGGATCCCGTGTTGGCACTGGTTTGTGTCCCACCTCCTCTACTTCCCAATCAGCTTCCTGCTTGTGCCCTGGGAAGGCAGCAGAGAGCTCTAGGTCTAGGGACCCTGAACCCATGTGGGAGGCCCGGGTGAAGCTCCTAGTTTCACATTTGTTTGTCTCTGGCCATTGAGGCCACTTGAGAAGTGAACCAGTGGCTGGAAGGGCTTTGTTCTTTCTTTCTCTGTAAATCTGTCCATCCAATAAAAATGAATAAATCATAAAAGAAACAGCAGGACCCGGCATGGTGGCCTAGTAGCTAATCCTCGTCTAGAACGTGCTGGAATCCCACATGGGCGCCGGTTCTAATCCTGGCAGCCCCACTTCCCATCCAGCTTCCTGCTTGTGGCCTGGAAAAGCAGTCGAGGACCACACAAAGCCTTGGAACCCTGCACTCACATGGCAGACCTAGAGGAGGTTCCTGGCTCCTGGCTTTGGATCGGTGCAGCACTGGCTGTTGCGATCACCTGGGGAATGAGTCATTGGACAGAAAATCTTCCTCTCTGTCTCTCCTCCTCTCTGTATATCTGACTTTGCAATAAAAATAAATAAATCTTTAAAAAAAGAAAGAAAAAAGAAACAGCAGTTAAGAGTGAATGGCCTTGTATTTGCAAGTACACACGAGAATCTAGTCTGGGATCACCTCAGTCAAAGTTTCTTTTGGGATCTCCCCAATTGAGCTGCTGGACTCAGAACCCTGTAACCATTTAGAGATGTGCAGGTTCCATGGTCCACCATGGAGTGCAAGTGCCAGAGCTGATCCTCCTAAAAGGCTCAGATGGAGCAGTGGAGAGCATAACCAGATGCACATGGAGGATATGGCAGTCTATCAGAACCTGCAGAGGATACCTGGCACAACAGAGGACAGAACAAATCAATCAACTACCCCAGCGATATGTTGGCGGCGAAAAACTGGGCAAACGGAGACTCTAAGGTGCACTATGTCAGTCAGTAGATTCTGCAGCAATCTCATTGTGCTTGGAATGGTGAGACTGGCAGCAATTCATAACAGCTGAAACCACTTAAGCAAGGCCCTCGGAGCATGCCCCACATCAGGGACCTGGGATGGGTGGGAGACTGGGTGGAACTTCTCCCTTTAACCGCACCCCTCTTATCCCAGATACAGAAAAACAAGAGTGAATGGCAGATCAGATGAAGCAGAGTGTCAAAAACAAACTAGACGACGCAGAATTTGAATACAAAGAAAAGGACAAGCACACTCAAACAAAAATCAATACAGCCTCTAAGCCTTTTGGGGTCCTATTAAACAACCATAAGGCAATTGCTTTGGTGCAGTGTATTAAGTTACTGCAATGTTGCATCCCATATTAGGATGCTGGTTCAGGTCCTGGCTATTCTTTGCTTTTGATCCAGCTTCCTGCTAAAATACCTGGGAGGGAATTGTAGGCAATGGTCTAAGGTGGGTCCCTGTCACATGGGAGACCTAGACAGAGTTCGTACCCTCGGTGTGACTTAGCCCCAAGCCACTGTAAGTACTTGGGGGGATAAAAGCAGTAGGTAAAAGATAAATCTCCCTTTCTCTTGTCTTTTCTGTCACTTGGGCCTTCAAACAAAATCTTTTTTGAAGATTTCTATCCACTGGCCACTCCACAGATGGCTGCAAGGGACAGCATTGGGTTATAAGAAAGCCACGAACTTCGTCTTGGCCTCCCACATTGGGTTACCTTCTGCTGCTTTTCCCAGGTTATGTGTGGATGCTGGATCCAAAGAGCAGCAGCTAGGTCATGAACTATCACTCACACGAGATGCCACAGGCTGTGGCTGAAACCACTGAGCCATAATACCAACCCCTCTAATAATTTCTGTGAAGCAACAAATATTTGCACTATGTGCGTTCTAGAAAAAGGAAATAGAAGACACTGAAATTCTAACGGCCTTGGAAAAGACACAGTCTTCATGGTAAGAAAAAAAAAAAAAACAGCACCTCTGATAGATTCAACCATTAAAGGGCTAATTCTGCGATAAATTAAAACCAGACAAAAAATCGTGAGACAAACATAAAGAATCCTCATGGGAAACACAAAAGACTTTTCAGGCCAGGAAAAAATCCCTAAGAATGTAACACCCAAAAAGCCACTCTTCATAATGACTGGAAATGCTCTTTCCGAGACCAAAGAAAACAAACAAACATAAGTGAATCCACGACCATTAGGCTGACTACAGAAAGAAGCAAACCTTAAGAGGGTCCTACAGCACACAATCATGAAAACAGGCGCGTACAAAACTCAGCAGTAGAGCATATACACCAAACAGAAAGATAATCAAACCTTAAAATCAGGAAGCCATCAAATCACACAAAAAAACAAGAGTACAAAAGGAACAAAATGTTGGAAGTTACCTATTAATAATTCTAAAACCAAGACCCAACAACGGGCTGTGTACAAAACTCACTTCACCGGTAAAAACATATGTAAGACTGAAAATTAAGGGGTGGAAGAAGATAGGTCGTGTAACCAATCCAGAAACCAAAAGCCAGCACTAATAGTTATATTTTCACTGCACAGGATGGACATTACATAAAATACCATACAAAGACAGCACACAACATGATTAAGGAAATGACTTCAACATTGTTATAATTATACCTGCATATATTTAAAGGAATCCAAAACAATATGTAAGAGACAACTGCATTATTTACTCCAGCACTATTTGTATTCTGGCTATTGCAAAATCAACTTAGATGTTCGGCAATAGAAGAATGGATAAAGAAAACATATACACAAAGAAATATTATTCAGTCACTTATAGAAGAATGAAACAACGTTTTCTGCACCAACAGAGATGGAACTGGAGGATAACAGGTTAAATGAAATGTAAGCTTACAAATACCACATACGCTCACTTAAAATGTAGATGCTAACAAGCTGATCCCATGCAAGTATGGAAGAGTGGACACAATAGCCTGGGAAAGGTTTGTGGAAGGACGGAATGGAGCCAGGATGGTTAGTATCTGCAGAGAGTTGGAAGGAGTTACAACTCCTAATGTGTTATAGTACAATAGGATAAGTGAATAATGCAAAAAATATGGATATTTCTCATTTTATATTTTCCATGTGTTGAAATATCATATTGTATTCATATGTAAAATTACCATCATCAATCACAAATTAAAAATGTATTTAAAAAAAAAAATCACTCCACCAATGTTTTTACAGCTAGTATTTGGCCTCAGTGAATCTGAGCAGCAGATACAGAAGCCCACAGAGCTGACTGAGGCTCTGGAACACAGCTGCAGGTATCCAACAAAGAGCACTCTAATATGAACTCAAGACTGACAACCTCCAGACTGAGTGGATCCAAGGATAGTGAGGCTACTGTTTTTACAGTGTCATTAAAAGGAAAGGTAATAAACAAGGTAAGAATAAGGAATGGAGAAATCGAGATAGTTAGGAATCTAACAGAAATTAAGAACCAGAGCAGACTATAATAGCATACTGCAGTGACACAAACTTACCTTTGCATATCCAGTAGCGGCCATGTCTAAACGGAATGTAATTAAAACCAGGGGAAGCTTTATTTGAAGAATGAGCAGGTACCAAATTCAACACAAAGTATCCATCGCAAATGAACCTTAGCTCATAAGCCTATTGATAATATTCATCCTTTCTGTGTACTGATTAAAGGATAATATTTTGGGGTTCAAATACCTTTTGCCAAGCAATATTTAGGGCTTGGTTTTTCTTCTGGTCAAGGTCTTCTATAGTTGCAAGTATCTTGGATTTGTCATTTTCCACAATTCTCTTCTTCTTCATCAAGTCATTATACTGTTGGATAAAAAGTCTAATTAATCAGAACAAAATCTTTTTATTGTTTAACTTATTTGACTCTATTTGGTCATTTTTGAGAACATGGATGCACCTGGAGATTATTACATCTAAATGAAAAACATCCAGTGCAAAGTTATACTCCCTGATCTCACTCACATGGAATCTGCGAACACTAACCCCAGAGAAGGGGCACTGCTGGTCATCAGAGGCTAAGGACAGTATAGCAGAGGCAAAGATGGTAAAAAGCTAATTAATGCATACTAACTTATGTCTAAGCTGGAGGAATTTTTGAGTATTTTACTGTAAATGCACAAGGAAAAAATCAAACAAGCAAAACAAAATCTGCAATTACCAACAGGGCCTTCTCTGGTGAGGAGACCAAAAAACTAATAAATTCTTGGAACAAAAAATACCATTATCTATGAGAGTAGGGAAATGATTAAGTTTCCAAATGTTACGCAGCTCAAGTTGAATCAAAAAATTTTTTTCCACAAGAATAGAGCTTGCTAAGTCTTAATTGCAGAAATGAAAACCAGCAGGAACATTTTAAAGAGTGATCACTACCTGTACCATTAGCCTGTTTGATATTTAACATAACAGATTCTTTGTACAACTAATGTCACAGCTTAAAAGCAACAACCCATTACAATAAAATTTCTTAAAAGTAATTGAGTTTATAACTATTTTCAATTTTGCAGATGTTTCATTAAGTCTACTGTTACATGCAAATTCAAGAATTAAAGAAGGGCATTAATGCAGAATGACTACAAGTGCTATTGCCTGCAGGGCTCTCAATAACAGGCCTGCTGCCCTGCTGCTGCATTGTCCCAGTGTTAACGCTTCTGACATTATCACTAGATGATTCAAATTTCTTCCCTGTACTCGGTGAGGGCTGAAAATATCAATCACATTATCAAGTACCAAGACTGAGAAGACTGCTGGATTTACATGTTAGTAAAAAACTGTTAAATATGTAAGTTTCAATCATTACTCACATGATTATTATATAGACTAGTGTCAATAGGACAAGACAAAGTATGGAATAACTGTTGAGAAGTAAAAAGAGCAAACCTTATTTTTCAAAGCCTTTTAAAGCAAGTGAAGGAAATAACAAAAATAGGAGGAAATAACAGGATTCAAAAGTGTTATTTCTATTTATGTCAAAATTTTTAAAAGGACATGATTATTGCAGAACAAAAGCCAGTAAAAAAAGCCATTCAAGGTACAAAATAATTTGTAGAAACATCCAATGACACAGAAAGAACCATTAGAAAAATAAAAAGGGAAATAAAGAAAGTACACAAAACAATAACCAAAGGCTTACTCTAATAATTCCATCCAGGTTCACAGAGCTACTGTGTTTTAGTGTGGCAGAAACTGACTCACCCGCTCTTCAGCTTCTGTCAGTACATTCATGGCTCTCATGTTGACATTTCTTCCGAGTTTCTCCTTCAATTCTTGTAACTGCTGAAGTCTCTGGCCAGCTTCCTTTGGGTTGTTATTCTTAAAATCATAGGCACTATTGGGCTGGCCAAACAGGTGTTTCTCTGCATTAATCCACTCATACTCTTTTAACATTTTTGATACCTTTTCACATATAAAAACAGAAGGACCCATGATTATTACATATTAAAAAAACTCTTATTTACTATGTAATATCAAATATTTGGAGAGAAAAATCCCAGAGTGACTCCATTTCCATGTGTCACTCACATGGCACAATATATTTCTTCATTTAAAACCTATTAATCATTTCAAAATAAAGCACTTCTACAAAATGTGTCTTGCCACAACTGTTTCAGGTTCCCTGCATTCAATGCTTACCAGTTTGTTTAGCCTTATTCATTCTATAAGTATGATCTCATCTCCAAGCCCCCAATAAAAACCAACATTTATAAACTATCTTCCTGCTGACCTGAATTCTGAGTATGTTGCTCATCTTCCAATCTTCAGTACTTAGCATAATACTGAAATATAGGCATGTTGACAAGTGTTTGATAACAATATTTTTCAAGGGTTTGCACTAACAAATCCTTCCTTTTACCATCATAAAAGCAAATGAAATCACCTAACAATTTCCAATATAACATTTTCCCACACCAAAAAACCTGTTAGTAGTAATGCTGGCATTGGTGATTTCTTGGTGAGTCTACTAACACTAACCTATAAAGGCTAATGGAGAATCAACAGTAATAAAATAAAGGAGATTATGATATAGTCATAAAAAATGGTTTTTAAATCAAGTAATGACCCTGAACAGGAATTCTAGTCCTTCCAGAGAGTAGAAAGAATATTCTAAATGTTCTTAGATGTCTTTTGAAGAGTGAAAAAGATCCTGGGTATTAAAGGTACCAAACATTGGGTATTAAAGGGCCAGAACATTGCCTCAATTGACTAATCCTCTTCCAAGCACGGCACACCATAGAGGTGCCGGTTTGTGTCCTGGCTGCTCCACTTCCCATCCAGATCCCTTCTTGTGGTCTGTGAAGGCAGCAGAAAATGATATAGGTCTTGGTACCTTGCACCCATGTGGGATACGCAGGGGAAGCTCCTGATCAGTTCAACTCCAGCTACTGCAGCCATCTGAGGAGTGAAGCAGTAGACAGAAGATCTTTCTGTCTCTCCTCTCAATAATTCTGTCTTTTCAATAAAAATAGATCGTTTTTATAAAAAGGCACTAAACTATTACATACGCATGATAATTCTTACAACTACATCATTGTAGCCTCTCAACCAAGTAATGATTTTCTTAATAAAACATGTATTCTCTTAGGACATTTAAGTATAGACAGAATGATATATAAAATTTTAAGAGGATCAAACATATGAAACAACCAAAAAGTCAATTCAGTCTCCTTTTACATAATTTGTGTGTGTGAGCGTGTGTCTGTGTGCACGTATTGTTTTTTTATATTAGAAATAGGAGCTGGCATGGTGGCTCAATGGGCTAACCCCCTACCTATTAAGTGCTTGCATCCCATATGGGCATCAGGACACATGCTGTTTACTCCAGTTCCCATCATGCTCCCTATTTATGGCTTGGGAAAGCCAAAGCCTTGGCATCTGCACCCACGTGAGTGACCCAGAAGTTCCTGGATCCTGACGTCAGATTGATTCAACTCTGGCTACTGTGGCCATTTGATGCATGAATCATTTGATGGAAGAGCTGTCTCTCCTCTTTATAAATCTGCTTTTCCAATAAAAATCACATAAATCTTAAAAAGAAAAATAAATTAGAAATAAGGTAAAGAGTTTACATTATTATTAATAACTAGTAATTACTTTAACATTTATGCATAAAAAGTTATAAAGAAATATCAAAAGTCTTGTGAAATGGAATTAAGAAACTTTAGTTTTAGGCAAAAAAGTGAAAGCTATGCAGAGTTTTAAAAATACACATTTTGTATTAACTTTTTGAAGATCTTTCATACGTACAAATTTCAGAATGTTTTGCACCAAATTCAAATATTTAGTTTGAATATTTATTTGAATATTTCTGTAAACCTTTTAAAGTATCTTTATTTTTCCTGGGGGTAATCACTAAATATCTGGAAAGTACATTTTATGCATGGAAATGAATATGTAAAATTAAATTACGAAATATTTGTACATGTTTAAAATAATTACTCTTAGGAAGCAGAAAACATTGGCAAGGTCATGAGTTATTGGGCTCCAGCTGTAACACTTATAGTGAGTTTTTCATTGAACTTATTAGTAGCTCGAACAATCATATTTTAAGGGTAAAAATCAGCATAAACATGCCTTTGCAGCTGCATCTTCAGTTTCCCGTTTGTGTTTGCTGATGTTGTGGTCTAACTCCTTAATTTTAAGTTGAGACTCATTGTTCTGCTCTTTATGCTTTGCGACTTCTGCATATTTAGCTTTAATTACATTGTCTTGGGCTGTTATCACTTCTTTCTGCTTCGTTACCTCTTCTTGAGCTTTATTTACTGACTCCTAAAGCAAAAAATTAGAAGAGAATATATAGTAAGGTAACACATAAACATTTTAGTTTTACTAAAATGCCTCTGACATACTGCTGGACAAGATAGCAATTAGAAACAGTCACAAAGCCCATTTTATACCACCATTAAAATAATTAATGAATTTACACAAAGGAAAAAAATTGTATTACAACTGGAAACAAAAGGCTGTTGGATAGAGCACAATGCTGGCCGACTGCTGTTTATCTGTCTCTTTTGTATCTTTGCTTTTCAATTAAATAAAAACAAAAAATGAAGCAAAAGACAGACACAGACACCCCCGATTGTACTTATCCAGGAAGGCAGAGAAGGGGTGGAGACAAGGAAGCTTACAGGTCATTCCCTCTTGCTCCTACAGATGTATTACCTGTGGCAATAGAGTGGCATCAGCACAGAAGCAAGAAATGAAGCAGGAAGAGATCTTACGTTTCGAGGAATGGAAGTGTGGCTCAAAGAAACTTCTCTGTCCAATTTCTACTACTTTCCTGACTTCCAAACTTGAGGCTATTCAACCTCTCTAACACAGCTGAGATTTAGTCATTATCACCATTTGAAGTCAAGCCTAACTAAATTCATAGATAGATTAGGAAAAAATAAAGAAAAGCAAAGAAATAGATAGCCTGTTAAAAGATTTCAAAGAAAAACAGTCCTCTGTGGTTAATTTTACAAGTACCAGTAAAATGTTAAATATTATTTTAGGGAGGCTATTCACAAAACCACATAATTTTGAGCAACAATGCTCCACCATATGTTTAGTTATATTTCCACTAATTTAATTTCCTTATTTTTAATTTCTGTTATCAGAGATATTTCAGAAGAAAGGTAAAGAGTAGCATTCTCCTAGAAAGCTCAAAGATATTTTCACTTTTCAGAAACACTGAAGAACATAAAAATTAAATGAAAAATATTCCAGTGACATTAACTTAAGAGTAATAGGAATATTTATTAACTAGCACCATACTTAACACAAACTCATTAATCAAGATTCTCTCTTATCCAGACGTCCAAGATTGCACTATACTTGGCCGTCAATGTCTTACATGGTAGAAAAATACACAGGGAATCTATTAATAAGCAATAAGCAGAAATCAAACTTTAGCTTTGTGTGCCTCAATCCAATTAGCTACTAGGAAGTTTCTTTCAATTAACTCGCTAGAAGTGGCCTCATCTATTCCTATCAGCCAAAAAATTTAGAGGGCTTTGTGTGATAGCATAGTGGTTAAGGTCCTTGCCTTGAATGCCCAGGATCCCTTATGGGCGCCGGTTCTAACCCTGACAGCTCTACTTCCCATCCAGCTCCCTGCGTGTGGCCTGGGCAAGCAGTCCAGGACGGCCCAAAGCCTTGGGACTCTGCACCCAATGGCAGACCCGGAAGAGCTCCTGGCTTCAGATTGGCTCAGCTCCAGCCATTGTAGTCACTTGGGGAGTGAATCATTGGATGGGAAGATCTTCCTCTCTTTCTCTCCTCTCTGTATATCTGACTTTCCAATGAAAATAAATAAATCTTAAAAAAAAAATTTAGAAGTACAACTTGCATTACTAGTTTTCTATTAATAGAAATAGATACACTCTTAATGGGAAGATGTATATATTTTTATTTAACATTTACTTAGACCAAAAAAGCAGTGCCTCATCATTTTATTTTCACATTTCTCTTTGGAAACAAGTTGCCTAATTGTTTTAATGCCACAACATTATGTCCATGAGGAGTAGGTACTATGGAAGAACATAATAAAATGAAAAAATTTGAAACTGAAAAAGTATATCAAACACAAACTTTAAAAATCTAAACTTTATAGACAAAGAAATTGAACAAACTATAAATTTCACCTGCAACATAATCTGAAATCTGATTTCATTTTTATCTCTCTAAAACAAATGGGTCAAAATTGTTAATCTGCTACTGATTCGATAAATAATGTGTTACAGCAAAACAATAAAACTGTAACCAAGAATAAAACATAGGAAAAAACACGCACTTCCCCAAACTGCATGTTACAATGATCAATATATTCACAAGGGAAAAACAAAAAACAGGTGACAAAAGCAAAGTAAAATGTTCTTTACAAGTAAATAAATGAAATACACTTGTTAATAGTTGCACGCATTTAGTTCCATCAAACTCAATGACATACACTTCTTACAAAGCCAGGTACAAAGCAAAATGGCATAACTTGAAAACTGAATATTATATTATTAAAAAGTAGAAGTGAAATAAAATGGAACAGAATTTACCATCAAAAGCAAAAAGAAACAAAAGAATACCCGGTGTTTATGAGACGGTCCCAGTGTCATGGTACCAATCTGTCCATTAAGGAATGTATGTACAACCTTTGCAGCCCACTCTGCCCACAAAGCATCCTGTGTTGTCTCACTTCTATAATGGAACACGTTGCTGCCTTTGCCAGCCGCAATAACGTGAAGTATCATCAAGAGATATTGCTGGAGAGCCACTGCCCAAGAGGTTCTACTGCTTGGTTTCAGTGCTTACTGGCATGCACAGGGGACGGCAGCTTGCGCGGTCCTGCTTGGAACTTTGGGCTCGCTTGCTTTTCTTTCTGTTTCTGGGCAGGATATCACCCTGTGGTCCATATCCCCAGAAAGCCATTTCCCAGTAGGTACCACACATATGACACTTCCTTTTGTACAGTTTTTCCTGGAACTCCACTAACCTTTACCACCAGGGGCTCCTAAGTAAGCCTACTGCAACTGGAACTGGTACACAGTCCAGTAAGTAAACCAGGGCTCTTACTCAGATTTTTTCCTTCCAGGCTACACTGCTTCAGACCTGGGGCACTAACTGTTCCCTTTATCTGTTGCTCTTGTATTCTTCAGCCATCTTCCCTATCCCTTAGTGATCATTTTCCATTATTCCAAAGTCATAAGTAAGATTTTAATTTACACTGATTGTCTAAACCATGTGGCTTTTTGTCTGAGCAGAACTGGATTAATCAATTAGCACTATTATTTCAGACTTTTTCTGGATTGATAATCACCATTTTTGCCTCTTGCTCTCATCATTTACAAGAGATAAAAGATTAAGAACACCTAAGTCAACAATCTTAAGCCAACAACTCATAAACAGATTAGTCTTTTCAATTTCTCCAATCTAACAATAAATCCTACCTTGTTTTGAGCCACCTCAGCTGCCATTACTTCAATTTGACCTTCATAGGATTTGATAGCTTCATTTACAGCTTCCAGCTGCTGTTTATATGACGCATGCTCTCTCTTGAGTTCTTCCAGTTCCAAAGTGATAGCTTCAACTTCCTAAAGACAGAAAACATCTTGGTATTCAAACAGGTAATTAACTACTAAAAACGAATGTAGAGCAACAAAAGCAGCAATATCCTCACCCAAACAGCCACAGTTTAATGACCACTTAACAACCCAAATTACATGCTAAGCTGCTTTTCTAGAAAAAGATAGGAAAGTTTATTTTCCTATATTAAAATAAGCTATGTATAAATAATTCTATGCATTCAAAGAACCGTGCATGAATTCTTTTTATTCCAATAGGGAAAATACAACAAAATTCTACATTACAAACATCTAGTAGAGACACAATGTTTCTGACATTAAAAAGTGTTTACTACTCATAAAGGGAATAGCATTTGTGCATTCCAGACACAGCTCCAAGGTGACCACATTTCCTTCACTCCCTGCTCTCAATATCCTCTGGCCTTTCTTCTCCTCACTGCTGCTGTAAAGGCATAATTTTAATCCACTCCATATCACAGGTTTAATTCACCCACTAACTATAATATTCAGCAAACAAAAATCAGAGCACCACAGTCCCACTGTTGTGTAAATATAGAGTAAAACTGACAAGTGCATCCCAATGCAAGCACTTCATTCCAGTATGGTTTTTGCATTCTCAATTAGCTGTTGCATATCAGCAAAATCATTTGATATTTTTCTTTTTGCAACTAGCTTATTTCACTAAGCATATGGTTTCCAGTTACACAAATTCTCTTGTAAAAGACAGAATTTAATTCATTTTATGGATGAATAGCACTCCATAATATATGTACACTGTTGTCTTAGAGATTTATCTAATATGTTAGCTACTGTAAATGGAGCTAAGATTTTCTAGTTAAACAAAATTATTCAGTAAGCCAATATGTTAGTTCACTGCACCTTTTTGTCTACTAGAAAATGGTTTTTCTGCAGCTACCTAGTGATAGAATCTTATGGGATATTTTTTAAAAAGTGGATTCAAATTCTACTCTACACAATCTCATTTAAATTCGGTATCTTTGAAACAAAAAATGTTTGAAATCAAATATAAGTTTAAACCTGTCCGTCCCTATTCAAAAGATGAGTATAATGAGGTACTACCAATCTACAACTGAATAACCTCCTCAAGTGGAAGGTACTTCCTCTGATGATTCTATCATAGTGCATATCCAAACATGTAGTTTCCAAAGAGAAATATCCAACATGCAGAACTTCTAACATTTCACAGTTACTCACATCATGTAATTCACTCTGGAATCCAGTCCACTCTCAATGGAAGCATCTACTGAAAAGAAACTTCGACCTTTCTCTAAGATTAACAAGCCAATGCAACCTACACACAACATGACACTCAAACACAGAATTTCCTGTAAAAAACACATTCAACTTGTAAAACACATAATCTATTTCCTAAGAACACAACCATTTTTATATTTTGGAATTACACTGATGAATAAAGTCACCCAAACCTGTTCTATCACCTCTGTCTCTATGTTAATCTTTACACAGGTGCCATTTAAACAAAGAATATTACCTGTTGTTTTTCTTTCATTTTTTTGCTGGATGCATCTGCCTTAGTTTTAGCACCATCCAGTTTTTTCTGAGCATCCTTCAGTTCTCTCTCTCTTTCAGCTTCTGCATTTTTCATTTTATTCTCCAGTACTTCATATTTTTCTTCTGCCTTTTTTTGGATTTCTTTGGTATTTTTTAAGATTTCTTCACTTTCCTCTGCATCATAAAGTAGACAAATTGGGCTAAGTTAAAAACTTAAAAAAAAAAAAAACCTAAAAACTAGATAAAGGTTTATTAATTCAACTATTAGCAGAAGAAATGGTCTGGAAAATTAGAGGGTAGAGAATTTACAAAAATTTACTATTCCTGCCATCTTTTAGAAAGGGTTAAATGACATTCTATTTAGGGGCCATATTTTAACAACCTAAAGATCTGTAAAACAAAATTATTTCCAATAGTATGAAATAAATAGCAAAATTTTTTATTTATAGCTCATTTAATTTTGAAAAGAGTCTGAAGTAACTTAGTTCCTATTTTTCACAAGCCTAATTTATAGTTCCTAGAGGCAGGACTCTAACCACAGTATTTATAAATTTGAGTTGCTATCTAAGCTATCCAATGAGTTACCCAAAAAGTTAACAATTTTATAAACAACTGTTTTTGTACACTTACATTAACTAAAAAATCTCTCAGAGAAGATGAAAATATTCAGAATATATCTATAATAAAATACAAAAAAATACCCAAACTTTTCAAACAAAAAAGATAGATAGACTGGATACATTAATATCACAACTGACATGCATTGTCAGTGTATGGCTACACACACATATAATCCTGGAAGGCAGGACTACAATTTTCTAGGTAACTTTTCATTGCAAAATGAAATACTGGGGGGAAACTGATGTGTAGATATGGTTTTAAGGAATGACAAAAGTAAAAACTATCCTATCCACTTAATTTTGGTGAAAAGTGAAGGATGGTTTCTTCAATGACAGCTAAAAGCTGCATTACATCAAACATTAAACATTTGCATAACAGAAGTATTATATACATAAAGTTAGAGAAATAGATAAGCTAAAAAAATACACTTGCAGAAATTAGATCTCTTAAAAATTAGAACAATGGGGAGAAAAAGGAGAGCAATTCAATATTAAAATGAGCAAAGAAGCAAACAGGAAAAGCAAAAAAGCAGAAATCCAGAGGTCCTGAGGCTGGCACTGTGACGCAGCAGATTATGTGGCCATGTGCACCTGCCCTGCCACATCACGTCCTGGCTGCTCATCTTCAAACCCAGCTCCCTGATAATGTGCATGGAGAAACAGAGGATAATGACCCAGGTATCTGGGCCACTGCCAACTGCATGGGGACCCAGAATCAAAGTCCAGATTCCTTGTGTCAGCACAGGCTGGGCCCTATGTCCCAGCCATCTGGGGCGTGAATCAGCATGTCTCTGTCACACCCTGTCTTACAAATCTTTAAAAAAGCAAAACAAAACAAAACAAAAAAAAAAACGCAAAGGTCTAATGGCATACAGAATGAGAAAGATTATAAATTTTACCAGCAACTGGGATAATATAAATTTGAATGCTAACATGCTTCCTTTAAAATCATCAGATAGAATTTTTATGTTCACAAAGGAAAAGCTTCAGAGAAATGAGAATTTCCATGTTACCAGAAACATTAATTAGTCAGAACATCAAGAATACATAGTAAAGGAAAATGATGATACTTAGTCCTCAAAAATCTGTCCTTGATCACATCCTGAAGGGACTCTCCCCCACATACATACAACAGCATTTCCTACACGTAAGGTAGAACTAACAGAGAAAGCAAGCACAGACTGTTTCAGTCTTACCAATGGTTTTTTTAAGGGTATCTAATTCTTCTTGTTGCTTGTGGTAAGAGCTTTGCTGGAGCTTGGTTTGTAATAGGTCTGCTTCTTCAGATCTCATTTCCCACTGTTGTTTCAGCTGGCGATACCTTTTAAAAAGAGATCGATCAGTTTGTAAACAAAAACCAGATTTCTTGTGATGTGACTTCACGACTTAGATTCAAACATCAGCCTCCTAAAACTCACTGCAAACAAGATAAAATGCCATACATTTTACAAAACATTTGAAGACTCTTGAATGTGTGAGGCATTACTTAGTAGCTACTCATGAAGAACGGTTAATCACAACAATTACATAAAATTTCAAACATTTGATTACCTACTTACTAACCTTCATTTTGAAATGCTGACTAAAATATTCTAACAGTGTTTCCTAATTTTTGTAATGAGACTGACAGTTAAGAGGACACAGCATGCGTTGTAAACTTTGCAATTCTACCTTACATCTGGCTATTTAGTCATTTCTTTGCTAAATATTTAACTCATGTGAAATCTATAATTAATATGAACAGAAAGTATTTTGTCAGATACATTATGAGGCCTAAAGGGACTTATGAAAACTGCAGAAAAATAGGACTCAACTTGTAAGACATGAAGCACTATTAGGAGTATTCTTGCCAGAAACAATGCTATATGCTAATTAAAACAGTATCTTCTTAACATCAAGTAATTTGTTAAGGCAATAAAAATGTAACCTTGACTATTATTTTCTTGAGTGGCAATAAAGAATAGCTTTAGCTGAAACTTCTAGTCTCATATTTTTCAAAATTTGTATCCTTTCCTTGACCTTGATGCCAAAATTAGCCAATGATTTTATGCCATAGAATTGCCCCAAATTAAATAAAATTAAGTTTTAAGTCAAATATGAGTACAACTAATCAGTTTGTTAGAGTTCCACATATCCTAGAAAAATTTCGTTGCACCTGTACCACAAAGTTTCAATCCCTTTCTGTAACCAGAAAATAAAATGCAGGCTTTATGGAAGTGTGAAGTTTGAAAGTTGGCATTTTGATGCAAATTATAACTTGGATTAGTCATTTCTGAGTTCCCAACAATGTTTCAATTCAAACTCTATTTCAAAATCTAAATGTCGGGCCCGGCACAATAGCACAGCAGTTAAAGTCTAGCCTCGAACGCGCCGGGGATCCCACATGGGCATGGTTCTAATCCCGACGGCCCTTCTTCCCATCCAGGTCTCTGCCTGTGGCCTGGGAAAGCAATCAAGGACGGCCTAAAGCCTTGGGACCCTGCACCCGCATGGGAAGCCCAGAAAAGCTTCTGGCTCCTGGCTTTGGATTGGCTCAGCTCCAGCTTTTGTGGCCACTTGGGGAGTGAACCATTGGATGGAAGATCTTTCTCTGTCTCTCCTCCTCTCTGTATATCTGCCTTTCCAATAAAAATAAAAAAATAAATCTTCAAAAACAAAAGCTAACTGTCACACCACTTTTAGTTATTCACATTAAGCATTACAATTTCTGAACATTTTTATCAGATTTTTTTTTTTAAATCTTCAGACTGGAAAAAATTCCAACGAAACTTTCCAACAGTGTATTTCAAAGTATTAGCAGTTGCACTCAGAGACCTTTTAAAGCGAGGACCTCTTCCCTCACTTGATTTAATCTCTGGGCCAGGTCACACCCATTTTTCAGGTAGTCACTGAGGTTACCTGGCTATCACATGCATGAGGCTTTTCTTGACTACACATACTGAAATTTCAATACCACTCCATCTCTGATGCTTCCCATCTCATCTCCTCATTCTTCTTTTTAGAACCAGCTAGTATTTTTTTAGTCAATTTACGTCTGTACATCTGTATTTTCACAACTACATCAATATAGATGAAGGCAGATGTGTCTGACTCATTGCTGGATCCCCAGCTCCCAGAAACACGGCACACAGGAGATACTCAATAAACACACCCGATATTTTTTTATTATAAAGAAACATTACCGAGTATGCATATAATTAATATCTGTACCAACAGGAAACAATGTGAAGAAACAGCAGACCTTTGCTTCTGTCTGACATGAACTTGTTTACCTCCGTTACAGTCCAGTGGTCTTCTGCATCTGTAGGACACGTACAACACTGAGAGCACCTGATCAACGCTGTGCTGTCTTACACTGTCTCAAGTCAAGAACCCAAGCAGCTTCTGGCAGCAGACCCAAGACCACTTAAGAAACCCTTACACCTCAGCAGGTGTTACAAGCATTTATCTCAGCAGGCAGTGGAGGATATTCCCCATTATGCTTAATTAGATTTTCCTAATGTATTTGCTATCACTGAATTTATTATTTTAAGTAAAATAAAGACTATTATGAAAGATGGCAGAAGTTACATTTCTTCAAGGAATAAAAAGCTAAATGGTTGCATGCCAGATGGGATTCAAAATGGACACACACACAGAAGCGCCCAGTATTTGTCTCCTCCTCCACCCTAGAGCCTTCAAGACCAGTGCTTAAGGACGAGCACCAAAGGCAGAGAGAAGCTGGAACACAGTAGAACATATAACAAACGTAGTCACCTAAAGGGAGAAGGGAGAACAAAGCAATGTCTGACGCCTAGGGTCAGTGAATTCTGTTTCAGAGGAAGAGTGAACAGGAGGGCATAGAAGGAGCCCATCTGTATACATCTGTCATCTGGGTGACCCTCCATGGAGAGGACACCTGTAGCCGCAGACCTGCAGCTAAGGAGGCATGTTCTCTCAGACTCAGAGCTCCTGGCCTTCATGGGGGAACCAGCCAGGTGCTCTCCAGAGCTCCTCACAGCAGGGATTGGTAGAAGGAGGAGCCATTCCGGGACTCAAACACCTCACAAGAAGTATGTCTGATTTCTTGGGCCCCAGAGACACAACCCCATTCTAGCTCCAGCTAGAATGCACAAACCAGGGCTGACCCACAGTCAAGTGCACAATGCACCGTGCTATGGCAGACTATAGGGCAGTGCTGCTGAGGTGGCTTTAATACTCTGGAAATGAGGAGGCATGTGCTGTGGAAACTGAGAGCCAATCTATTTCTTACTATTTCTTCTCCCCGACTATCTGACAGCTCTGTTTGCCACTGTGTCTCCAGGCACCCAGCTGATAAAGACTATGGACATTCAGAGATCCGTGCACACCTGGAGCAGATCTCACAGTGAGGCTAGGAGACACAGGGAGGAGTCAAGTAGGGCTCGGGATGGTAAGCATGCCTGGGTGGGTAAAGCGTGTTGATACCATGAGTTCACTTTAAGCTGTGAAACACCTGGCTCAACATGGCACAGAGCTGGGACTGCAAGCATGTCAGCTAACTCCAACATCCATCCCTTCTAACTGCTGCCAGAGGTACTCCGCACAACCAACTGTCACGTCACTCCAGACTCTTGCTCTACCCCAAACAGTGACCAGAGGTCTGCGCCCTACACAGTACATATCACTGGAACTGTGGTCTACCCCATCAGTCCTCAAAGGCATATCTACAGGAATAAATCCTTCAACTAAAAAAATCCCTCCACATGTTAGATCTTACAGTTGTGCAAAGATTAGCATAGAAACACAACAAAGGAAGTAATGTAAGTCCCCCAAAGAAATATTAATATCAGATTGGGAAGAAAAAAAGAGACTGACAAAATGCCTGCAATTCAAAAAATGGCTGTAAGCTTACTCAAAATAAAGAGGAGCAATTAGATGATATCAGGAAATCAGTTCATGACAAAAATCAGAAATTCAGCAGAAAGAGACTCTGAAAAAGAAACTATTAGAAATGCAATAACTAATAAGTCAAATAAAAAATACAATGGAGGGCCCGGCGCGGTGGTTAAGGTCCTCGCCTTACACGCCCAGGATCCCATATGGGTGCCAGTTCTATCCCGGCAGCCCTGCTTCCCTTCCAGCTCCCTGCCTGTGGCCCGGGAAAGCAGTCGAGTACAGCCCAAAGCTTTGGGACCCTGCACCCGCGAGGGGGACCCAGAAGAGGCTCCTGGCTTTGGATCGGCATAGTATCGGCCCGTTGCGCTCACTTGGGGAGTGAATCATCGGACGGAAGATCTTCCTCTCTGTCTATCTGCCTTTCCAATAAAAAAAATAATAAAAATAAATCTTTAAAAAAAATACAATGGAGAGCTTTAGTAACAAACTTGACAAGGCAGAAGAATATTCAGTCTAGAAGACAGATTTTCCAAGTATTCAACCAGACAAGCCAAAAAACAAGAATAAAAGAAGTTTCAAGAACCATGTAATGCTATGAAATGCAAAGCACCTGTACCTTCAGGAAAACAAAGAACAGCTTCCAAAAGCTATTCAATGAAATATTAGCAGAAAATGTCCCCTACAGCAGACACAGACACGGACTTCCAAATACAGGAAACACCTAGAACCCAAAATAGGCCTGAAGAGAGCAGCCCTACAAAATGACACACTGTTTCAAACTTCCAAACCTAATCTCTCTAAGAGAAAAATGGTACATCAACTTTAGATTTTTTTTTTTTGAAAAGACTGTGGGACTGCAAATTTGCATGACTATTATAAAAAATAGTATAGAGAGCCCTCAGAAAACCAAAGTACTCTACCATATTGACTATCCCATTCCTATAAATGCATCAAAAGGAAAAGCAATCGGCATATGCACAAGGTCGTTGCACTCGCATGTTCTTCACAGTACAAATGCAGTAGACGTGAGTCATCTGAGGGCAGGATAAACGCCCCGAATAAATACACGACAGTACTATCCATTTGCCATTTGGAACAAAATAGATGTAACTGGTGATAACTGTGTTAAGAGTATTAAGACAGATCCAGAGACAAATACTGCATTTTCTTCTATTTGTGAATTAATACATAAAGTATCAAAATTGTGTGGATGTCATATATAGTATTCAGTTATTATAATAGTATCACTTTACTGACTCACATCATGTAAATGACAGTATGCCCACTGTCCTTACAATGAGCATCGTCACAAATTACTCTTCTATTACTATCTCTGAATTCAAGAAATGTATGTATGTATATGTATATAATCAATATTTGAAGCAAATTGACAAAATGTGAAAAAATATATAAATTATATTTTAAAACCTAGCAACTCACAGCACACAAACCTTTATTTTTATACCCATAATCTCCCTCTTTTGGCTTAATTCAACTTAAGTCTTACTTTTCAGCAGTGTTTTTGAGACCTGCTAGCTCCTCTTCTAGAGCCTTTAGTTCATTCTCCTTGATTCTCAGTTCATCCTGAACATCTTTGAGTTCTTTAAACTTCATTAAAATAGAAGCTGCCTGGGACCGGGCACCTGAAGAAAACAAATTAAAACAGGCCTTTGACATTAACTTACTACAGCATTACACACACACAAAAATGTCCCAGAATGACACTGGTTATTACCCAACAATTTTTTAAATATTTCAAAGAAAGAGACAGAAAACAGGTATCTCCCACCTGCTGGTTCATTTTACACAGGTCTCTTCCACAGACAGCAGTAACCCCAGTGAGCTGGCCTCTACTGCCTACCCAAGGCGTGCTTATGCACGACACTGGGCGTGAAGCCAGGACTTGAACCAGGCACTCTGCTGAGGGATGTAGGCATCTCAACTGGCCTCCTACTTGCAATGACAAAGACCTTCTCCAAGAAACCTTTTAATGAACTTATGAAAATTCAAATTTCACTATGTCATCTGAACCACAGGGGACACAAAATTGGAAACAGTTTTATGTAGATGTGGCAGATCATTCAAAATAATCACCGTCTTGTTTCCTGGCTCCATCCTTTCTGTGGAGCTCTCCCTTTGCTATGAGGCAGCACAGACAGACTACTTCAGACTGTACGCAACAATGAGAACAAGCAGCAACTGAATGCTTTAAAAGTATCATAATTATGAAGTAAACTTATTACAAGCTGCTAAGATTTAGAGGTCATTCTGGAGCATGCATTTTAAAGCTTGATCTGAGCTGATATAGCAGAGTAAACAGAACAATTTCATATTATAAGCAATTATAACATAGAAGTAACAGGCTTAACTAGTATGTTGACAAGGAAACTATAGGCTAGACAGGACAATGTTAGTATCAATTACCTACGTTATTACAAGCCCTTTGCTAATAAGATAAAGGTTTACTCTTGTTCCATCCCTTAAGTAGAAACTTTTAAAGCAGCCTAGTCAATTAAATCTAAAAAAGTATCTTCTATTTTCAGATATTTTAAAATATTTTTATTCTTATTATATGAAGATACCAATCAATTACTCTGACATTTGATCACGGGACTTAATTGGCTATTTGTCTTCACCTGGAAATTACATGATGCTATTTGGAGTCTCAAAAGGCTTTACACAAACTTTTGTAAGTGAAGAAATAGAAATCTGTACCAGTCCTAGGCTGGCTTGCCCTGGCCCTGCAGAGCCAGTGGCCCAGCTATGAAGACGATGCCAGCCTCGGGCCAAGATCGAGAGCTGATCTGGCCTTGCTGCCCCAGCCTGTCTGGGGGAGGCCCTAGGCCAAGGTGCTGCTTCCTGTGTCTCCTGCATGTGCTGGAGGCTGCTAACCGGCTCCCGGAGGAGCCCCCGCTCTTAGCAGAATTGCTCTCAATCCCACTGGTGGCCTTTGGTGTCAGCAAGCAGTCTGTACTTTTATGTCTTGCTGGCTTCAGGAGTCAAGAACTCTAATCTCGGGGACCAAATCACATGGGTGTGTGTACGTCCTGGCCTCAGTGTACACATGGCAAGCTAGCCGCGTCCTCTGCTGACTCTCAAGCAAAGAACATACCAGGTGCACACAAAAGGTAAGTCTGCATACTTCAGTAAACCAAATGAAGACTTCAAATACCTCTTTTAAACACAAACATAGCCTTTACTTTCACCTTATCAAGGTTGCTCCATTTTAAGGCAGACATGTTTTACCTACTTTTTCTCTTGATCCTTTCAGAACCTGCTACTGGCAAGAGAACTCCTTAGTGAGTTCTAATTTAGTGCTCAAGTCTGAACATTTTGTCTAAAGTAGTCACGAACAACTGAAGGCCCCAGAACACATGCTTAAAAAACAAGAGCCTGTGCAATGATTGATGGAATCTGTCACCTATGCTCCAAGGAATCCAACAACTTCTCACAGTAATAAGGATTATATGAGAGACACAGCCTTTGGCAGTGACTGGGAATTCTATGGCTTGTGAGATGGACCCATTTGATAAGACAGGAAAGGTTTTTGAACCCAGGACAGGCAGGGCCTATGGCACTAGTGAGCAAGAAGTAGCTACAGAGGATGTCATCAATCTGTGTCCCACAGCAACCTTATGATTAAGCGTCAGACATCTCCGAGAATTGAATGAAATGGACAGGCAGGCTTGAGTCACAAGTTGGAAACAAGATCTCTTCCACCCTATGTAATCCTGTCTACCTACCTGTCAATTAAATGGCCTCTTTCCCAGAATTCATTTCCTCTCACCTGAGCTCTTAGGGTGGTATCATGTAACCACTCTCCTTTCCAAGCCCAAAAGAAGTCTGGGAACAGGGAGGAGTATTCCCTTGTGGTCACAGGCATGGCTGTCACAACCAGAAAGGGGGAGCAGGGAAGGACACTAATACTCCAAGACACTTTGGATGGCTTGGCTACCTCTAGCTCCATGATTATTGCCCGGGAAAGTAGCAGAAGACGGTCCAAGTGCTCAGGCTCTGGTAGCCACATGGGAGACCTGCAGGAGGCTCCTGGCTCCGGGCTTTGAATGGGCCTAGCTCTGCCAGAAGCAGCATTTGTGATGTGAATCGATGCACAGGGGTCCTCTGTATCTCTGCCTCTCCTTCTCTATCTGTAAACTCTACCTTTCAAATAAACAATCTTAAAGTACCATCTTTGAAATCAGGCTCCCTTCATTCACATTCTGAGCTGTACCACTTATTGTCTAGTTATTTAATCTCTGTATGTTCCACCAATGGACTTACAAGGTGATAGTAACATACTGACAGTAAGTTCATTACTTACAGACCACAAACTGCTAAATTTATAGAACTAATGTATTACCTACACAAACCAATTACCCATTAACACTTTGTAGTTATTCAGTCCCTAACATGTGAATGAGGCCAAGTGAGGAAACTCCTTAAAATTTAATTGTTTTATTTAATTAACTTAATTCAATGTAAAAGGCCACACATGGCTATTTTATCAGTAACAGGTCACCGCATAGTATGTTGTAAAAATATTTCAAGGTTTTTTCAGTCACTTAACATGGTAACATGGATCTGGAAACTCTATGTGGCAAAATATTAGAAGATAACAAAAAATTCCTTAAAAAAATGTATTCACTTGAAAGGCAAAGTTACAGACAGGGAGAGGCAAAGTCATAGAGTGAAGTCCTCTAGCTTACAGTTCACTCCCAACCAGCCACAACATTCAGAGCTGGGCCTGACTGAATCCAGGAGCTCCAGTGCATATGCCATGTGGGTGCAGGAGCCCAACAACCTGAGCCATCTTCCACTGCTTTCCCAGTCATACTGGACCGGAGCATAAGTGAAACAGTTGGGATTCAAACTGGTGTCCATATAGGATTCTGGTACTATGGGCTGGGTCTTAACTCTATGCCATAGTGCCATCCCCAAGAAAGGACAGTTACATTGAAAATATACTTGAAAACTTTACTTTCCAGTACCTACAATATTCTGAGTAAAAAGTCAAGAATAAACATGATCTGAGATGAATAAAAGAACTTAACAGTAGATTGTGAGCTTCCTGAGGGCTACACTATTGCGTACCTTTTCATTGTTATTAACTACTCATCACACGCATTAGGTTTTTAAAAGCTAAACTCAATTCTATTTACATTCAAGTTTTGAAAATAATACCTGATCTTGGGTATAAAACTTGGACCAAAGTATTGGTTCTAATTGAAAACTAGGAATAAAACAAACCAAACCAACTATCCCTACCTACTTATCACACAGAAATTTAAAGACAGATAATTAAACCTTACCTCCACTCAATGTGCCATGAGGATCAAATACATCACCTCCTAGCGTCACAGTTCTGGTCATTATCCTTTTATCAAAGGCCACCTTTTTGGCATTATCCATATTGTCACAAACAAATGTTGTTCCAAAGACAAATTCCATTGCTTTCTGAAGTTCCGGTTTGTATTCAACCAGGGAAAGAGCTATGTGAACATTGTTAGGGCCAACCTATGGGAAAACAAGAAAGGCTATAGTACACGTTACCTCTTTCTTCTCAATTATTCCTTCTGTAAAATTTTCAAAAAGAAGAACTGCAGTTTTAAACATTGATGGGTCAATTTCTAAGTAAAATATTTACTTAAAGTACCAAGCATCAGGAAACTTTCTATTAAGATGGCACCAATGACAAGTCTTAAAATTCAAAACGGACTACTTGGATAGGACTTTCTTAATTAAAGTGCCATAACTTCCAAATGAACACCACTATATTTTAACTATTATCTTCTATTTTGATCCAACTGCCTCCTCTTAATGTTTTTTATAGCAACTTTCTCTATTCATCTTTTAAACAAAGAATCCCTTAAATTTCTTAGCAACAGCAAGAGAAATGTTCAGCATTGGTAATTCACATAGCAGCGAACATTAAACAGGTATGGTTGAGGAATACAAGTGTAAGCTTTGTTGCTGCAAATGGAGCATCTGAAAAGCAGAACTCGAAATACTTCATAATCTTGAACTTGCTGAGCACTAACTGAGATGCCCCAGGTGGAAAACCACACAGAATAAAAAATCTTATTTTGTTCACAAAATTATTAAGCATCCAAGCTATGTATCTGGTATATATGAAGCTTAAATTAATTTAATGTTCACACTTGGATTTAATCCCTATGAGAGCTCATAATGTATGTGCAATTATTCCTAAATCCAAAATGTATCCAAAATCAAAACACTTCTGATACCAAGCATTTCTATTTATCATTTAAAAAAATATATCTTACTTATTTGAAAGGAAGAGTTACAAACAAAGAGGGAGAGACAGAAGTCTTCATAGGAGATGCTTATGTCAAAGGTTGTGCTTTTTCCCACCATGCCATGCCACTGGCCCTTCAATTTGCTCTAACACTGAGCCTTGAACAATGGTTAAATTAACTTCTGGAGCCTTGTTCCCAAAGGTAATTTTTCAAGTAAAATAAGTACCAATCAAAAACACTTCTTTTGAAGACACTGCTTTTATCTTCTCTATTGTAATAGTCTGCCTATCAACTTTACTTTATTTGAAAACATTTTTATTGAAAGCTTCTCAATTTCAGTAAGCATACCAGATATCAACCTGGTACCTTAATTACAAATGTTAGAGGTTCCTAGAACTGTCTTGTCAACTCAAGCAATTAGGATGCTTGCTAAGTAACAAACTGATAATGCTGCTGAATGTTAAAATAATTTTGTGGTTTTACCCAGGATTATACAACCATGATAGCTCTGTGTCTTCCTCACCAGCAAGGCAACACCTCAGATTCACTGAAGCAGATGGCTGGCATCCAAATCACCTACTACATACTATCCATAGTCTCAACAACAATCTAGAAGAACTCCCAGGATGCTATTCTGTAATACTAACAGATGCCTAGGTTGCACTGCAGGCAATTTAAATGCACACTCCACAAAAAAAAAAAAAAAAAAAAGAAAGAAAGAAAAAAAAAACTAGATTATTTCCAGACACTTATTATTAAAGGAAATTCTATTTAGAAACCAGATATGAAGGGCCAATGCTAGAATGTAGTGTTCAAAGCTAATAACCTGCAATGCTGGCATCCCATCTGCTTATTATTCAAATCCTACCAGTTCCACTTCTGATCTGGCTTCAAGGCAATGTGCCTGGGAAAACAGCATAAAATAGCCCATGTGTTTGGGCCTCAACATCCTTGTGGGAGACCCAGATAAAGGTCCTGGCTGCAGCCTAGCCTAGTTTTGGCTACTGTAGCCATTTTGGGAAAGAACCCATGGATGGGAGACCTCTTGCTCTTTTTCTCTACGCCTCTCCATCTATACTCTAACACTCATATTTAAAAAAAAAATCAGAAATGAACATTTGTCTTTATTTAAAAATAGTTCTAAAATACAAAACAAGCATAAGGAGCTTAATTAACACATAAGAATTTAATTTTTTAAAAACTTGACTACATTCATTTTACATGTAAAATATATATTATTTTTACTTATTTTTATTATTTGGAAGGCAGACAGATGGAGCAATTCACCCACTGGCATTCCAAATTCCAGCAACAGGCAGGGCCAGACCCATAGCAGGAGCTCGTTCCAGGCCTCCCATGTGAGTGCAGGGGACTCCAGCACTTAGATGTCATGGACTGCTTCCTCAGGGTGCACATCCCCAGGAAACTCAACTGGATGACAAAAGCTAGCATCTGAGCCAGATATTCAAACACAGGATGAGGGCATCAAAAGTGCTGTACCAAGCATAGAACTCCTTCACCTATTCTTTTTTTAATATTTTAATGTTATATAACAAGGGACATCACTGATAGTCGTGTGACTTGCAATAAAATTTAAAAAATGCTAATATTTTAAAGTACTAAAGAAAGTCCTAGTCTTACAATATTTTTACTATTGTCTAACTGCACACAGACCAACTAAATTTTGAATGTTACTTTTTAAAGAACAAAATTAAAAATTTTGCCGTTATGAAAGACTTTGTTCTCACAAATTAATGTAACAAACACAAAAAAATACAGAATAAACATATAAGACTTACAAGATTTTGAGCAATCTTCAAAGTTTCTGGAGCAATACATCTGGCTGAAATTTTATTGAGTGGAATTATAGTGTATCGACGCTTCAATTCCCCTTTTTCCAGTAGCTTTTTCCCAGTAACCTGAAACACACATTTGGAACTAGACATTTAATGCTGACAAAACACATTAAAATGGAAAGAGTAAAAGGAGTCTGTAACTGAACAAACGTTTATTCCTATTATCTTAAGCAAATAAAAATTAAAGATTTTTACATATTATAGGATACTACTCCAGCCTTAAGAGAGATGTAATTTCAACTTACATTCTTGGAAGGCATGACTAGTAACAAATCGACATACAGTTATTACAACACAGTTAAACAAACCTAGAGAGTCCTATGCTAAGTGAAGCAATCTGCACACTTACATGCAGAACGTAAAGAAAAAGAAATTAAATAGCAAACAGAAACAGAACTACCAGGGTGAAGAGAAGGAAACGCTTAGAAGTCAGTCACGGGTTATATGGTAGTTAGGCAAGATTCTAAACCTAGAGATGTAATTTACAGCATTAAGACCAGAGTTAATGACAACCAATAGCATAAAATTAGTAACAGATTTTAGGTATTCTTATTACAGATACATGCAACCAAACAAAGTTAATGTGGAAGGTAAACCTTCGTATGCCCGATCGCAGGGATTATTTCACTGTTTATAGTGTACCCCTTAAATGTATACACCAAAAGGTAAACTTAATACTAGAATGTAAACTTGACAATGCTTACATGGGATTAAATGTAAGAAAGGAGAGTATCCTACAGGAGGATAAAAAGTAACAATTTATAAAGTACACATAAACCCAATGATACATTTTCTGAGAGGACTGATATGCAAAACAGACATCCCCAATTTATACTATCATTACTACTAATTTGAAATGTAGAGTTACAGAAGGAAACAAAGGCAGAGACAGAGAAACAAAGAACCATCTTCCATCCACAATCCACTCCCCAAATGGCCAAAATGTTTGGAGCCGAGCCAATTGGAAGCCAGGACCCAGGAGGCAGAAGCTAGGAGCTCCTCTGGGTCTCCTATGTGGGTACAGGAATCCAAGGACTTGAGCCATCCTCCACTGCTTTCTCAGGCCACAAACAGGGAACTGGTTCAGAAGTGGAGCAGCCGGGAAATGAACTGGTGGCTCATATGGGATGCTGGTACCACAGGCAGAGGCTTGACTTACTATACAAAAGTGTCAGCTCCATTCCCAAATTATTTTTACAAATTTGAACAGATGTAAACCTGTACCTAAAACAACAGGTGTCCCTACATAACAGGTATTCTGAGTTGTTGAATAAATTTAAACATCTTTCAGAACAAAGTTATCAAGAAGCTATTATTGGGGGTTGGTTCTGTGGCACTGTAGGCTGGTCCACTGCTTGCAATCACAGCATCCAAAACAAGAATGCCAATTCAACTCTCAGCTGCCCCTTTTGTGATCCAGCTCCTGCTAATGTGCCTGAAACAGGTGGAAAATGGTCCAAGGCAGTGGAAAGCAGCCCGAGTACAGTGGGATGGAGTTAACAGTTCCTGGCTCTGCCTTTTGGGGAGTGAAAGGACAGACAGCAGATCTGTCTCCCTCTGTAACTAACTGCCTTTCAAATAAATCTTACAAAAAAATTAACTGTCAGAGAATTACATTGAGGTCTTGGCGTCTGTCAGCTCAGTCCTAGCCAGCTGCCATTAGAACAAACCACAGGGTAGGGAAAAAAGATCTTTCACTTATTCTCTGCCTCTCAAGTTTATTTCATATTTTGTTTTTTAAGATTTGCTTTCTAATGTGAAAGAGCTACAGAGTCAGGAAGAGACAAAGAATAAATCTATCTCCCACCCGCTGGTTTAGCCCCAAAACGGGCCACAATGTCTGAGGTTGGGCCAGGCCAAAGCTGGAAGTCCATCAGATCTTGCCACATGGGTGGTAGGGGTCCACCTAAGTGGTCCAGTCGGCCTCTTCCCAGGCACATAGCAGGGAGCTGAATTGGAAGTGCAACAGCAGAGACTGGGGACTTAAACTGGAACTCACAGGTGACACCAACTGCAGCACAGTATGCCATCCTGCCCAATTGTTTCCAAACAACTGAGTATGTTTCTCCTATAAAAATAAGTGAGTTCAGGAAAAGCTGAAAACATCAAAATTACCAAACTCTTCTAGTAACAAATGATTTCTCAACTGCTATTACTCAGAAAATTTAGATTTTAACTAAAATCAGGGCCCAGCACTGTGGCCTAGTGGCTAAAGTCCTCACCTTGAGCGCGCCGGGATCCCATATGAGCGCCGGTTATAATCCCGCCAGCTCCACTTCCCTTCCAGCTCCCTGTTTGTGGCCTGGGAAAGCAGTTGAGGACCGCACAAAGCCTTGGGACCCTGCACCCGCATGTGAGCGAACTGGAGGAAGTTCCTGGTTCCCGGCTTCGGATCGGCACAGCACCAGCCACTGCGCTCACTTGGGGAGTGAATCATTGGACAGAAGATCTTCCTCTCTGTCTCTCCTCCTCTCTGTATATCTGACTTTGTAATAAAAATAAATAAATAAATAAACAAACTAAAATCAATTTACCTCTGTGTCTACAACAACATTGTAGAGTCGTTCCCCAGCCACCAATTCTAAAGCTGTGGTTGCAGAAGTATCTTTTACATTAATCAGAGAAGCTACAAGTCCTTTCACACAATTTCTATTCCAGTTCTTCTCTGGATCTCTTAAAAAATAAGTGACAAATTAATTCTAAATATGAAAACAGAAAAATAATCATGTACTATGAATAAAGAGCTCTTTTGAACAACACATTAAAAAGGTGAAAAAAAAAACACATTTTAACAAAAAACTTTAAAATGTCCCAAATGACTAACAAGCTTTGGTTTTTAAATTTAAAAAAGCTCTTTCAGTTATGTTTTCAAAGAAAAAAAAAACCTCTGATATCCTAATCTCTATAATATACACCAATACCGTACATATTTCATTAAAAAATTCATAAAACAAAAACAAGTAGATAGCTAACTGTAATGAATCATATTACAGACAGTCTTAACTGAGATAAATTCCCCTCATTTTAGTTTTAACCAAAGATTATTATTACTGGCATTAGTAGTTATGAAATTTCCCAAGAATCTCCCTGCCCAAGATGTGAAACAGCTCAACAAATCTTTAAGAAAAATATACTAAGTAAGGAAAAACAGCATACAACAATTCTCATACAAAAGCACTGGTGACTAAAAGCTTTCACACTGTCTTCTGTTTAAATAAAACATATTGGTCATTGTTATATTAAACTTCTCATTTTACATTTCTTACTTGTAGGCAAATCGGAGATTGGGAAACCTGGCCAACAGAGCTTCGTAGGTTTCTTTCAGCCTATTGATGTCACGAGACAGTTGCCTGCGTTTTTCCAAAAGGCTTTCTTCCTTATTTTCTGAAGAAAAAATCATAAGCAAATTCAGATATTCTACTGAGTAAAGGAAAATATTTTTTTCCATTTTCAAAATATTATTAGGACTAAAACATAAATTTCTAAAAGGTATTAAACACAAACCTTCATAATTTAGTTTTTTCATTTCTGCTTCCAGTTTTTCTTTCAGTTTTTTAACAGCTTCAAAAGCTTCTTGATCTTTCCTGTAACCACTATCCATCTTCTTAACTTCAGCTTGCTTAGTTTTTAACTCCTGTTGGGCATGCTTCAACTTCATCTGAGCCTAAAGTGACACATTCAATACATGATAATGGACAGACTGAGTTAGGCTTAACAGAGAAACCAGATTTAAAAATACAAATGCTTGGTATCATGCATTAATGCTGCAATAGATCAATAATTTTTCAGCATTTTCTATTCTAAAGCTACTCAGGATATATACTAATATAAATAATTAAATAATATGCATTTAAAAGTCAACAGTCTTAATATTTTCATTAATATTTTAAAATGTTAATGTGAACAGCTTTAATATAAAATATTGCACTAATAAAGTTGGGAAATTGACAAATAACTGTAAGGATCTGGTTATAGTCAAAAAAATGGAGAGCTAGAAGTCAGATTTGAGCAACTCTGTTTCTATTGTCTTGGACCCTGTGGAGGTCTGCTGGGAACAGCAGGCAATTATATCTGGAAGACTGTAGTGCAAGGATATTTTCGCTGGCTTTAAGCGAGGCCCTCAGAACTGAAGGGAACACACTGTACTTCTTAAAACTGAAGATGTTTAAGCTTGAGATGAAACTGAATTGCACTTGGGCAAGAGATGTGCTTATGTATACAAAGGACACACAACATAGTGACTCCTGGTGGCAAACCTAACCAGAGCGATATGGGGAAAGGTAACTCATGCTCGTGGGAACCGGCATGGTTTACACCAAATCCCAAAGCAACTGTCCCGCCAAGGCCACTGACATGGTCTGTGCGACGCTGGAACCCTCGAGGATTTAAACTGTCAAAAACAAATAAATCAAAAAGAAAACAAAAAAAAAAAAAACCCAGACAACTCTAGCTTTTCTACTCAGCTGTGTATGTTTGTATTTGTTTATATTTGTATCAGCTAATCAGTGGAAAACACTGAAAAATAATTTCCTTGACACTTAACATATCATTTCAACAATGTTTAGCTGCCAATGCACAATGTGAAATGGAGCTTCTTATCGCATGTAATGTCTCCCTTTACCTGTTTGGCTTCTGTCTGAGCTTTACTGATATCATTTTTACAGGCCATCATTTGCCCAGCCAGAGTTGCTTCGGCTCCGTCTTCATTACTGGAGAGGCCAGCGGAAACAGCATTGAAGTGCTGCTGAGCAGCAGCCAAAGCCTCAGCATCTTTGTTACTTGCTTCTTGAAGGGCGTGCAGTCCGTCTGCTATCTTTTTAACCTCTTTTTCCTTCGCTGCTAAAGTTTTAGAATCCTTTAGGAAGGAAGAGTTTTGCAAATTAGAGAACATTTTAGGAAAAACATCCACTTTCTTATATACAAATACCCAATGTCATCAAATTGCTGTAGCAATATCAAGCAGGCTTAAGATAAATAATTTAATCATCATAACTTTAAATGCTGAATTCTCATTTTGGAATCTGCACTGTTCATGGGACATTCTGACTCTTACATATAATACTTGAAGATGGCTGCAGAAACTGAAGCAGAGATAAACAAACATGGAACTAGTCCCCTAGCTGATAGGTTTTCATTCCCAGAACCCTCTGGGATATTCTGATACCTTGAATACCCTCGATAGTGGGTACTCAGATGGACTCTGAAGCATCTGAGGAGAAACCAACACACATAATGCAGGCTTTCACAGAAGGGAGACCATCTAAACAAAAGGGATGGAGAAAGGCCAGAAATGCCAGCTTCCTAAAAGGGTGCTGCATATCCAAATGACTGCAGGATGCAATTAGAAACGAGAACAAGGAAGGTGCCAGGCTGTGTACTCCTACTGAGAGGAAAAGCAAACAAGCAAAAACAAAAATAGAATTCATTTGGGGGGGGTCTTTAGATATTGAGGCTCACATGACAACATTTCTAGGTCTCCTCAGGGCAACCGTTAAACTGGTAACACTGAGAGCTTTGAGGATGAGTTTTGTGATGTCTGGTGCTGATCTGCAGTAGCTGGGCCCCTGAGGATGTCTTGGGTGCCAGTGGTCAGGACTCACAGGAGTCCTTTACAGGCACTGAGATTTGGGTCATTTGAAGCAAACAATCTCACCACCACATGAGCAGCATGCTCTCTCACATTTAAGAACTCAAGCCTTAACCGTGCACATATCCAATCCTGCCTGGCATCTAAACTACCCAAGCTCCAAAGTTACCGAATCCTAAATGAAAAACTCTGTTCTTTTAAAATCTGTTAGGGATAAAATTGCTACAAATCATGAACACAATCAGCTCAAACTGGCTAGCCAAAAGGGCCTTCAGAGCGAGAGACTAGTGGTAAATCAACGCCAAAGCCACTCAGAAAAGCCAAAGAAGTATCCTAAATACACTCAGAATAAACTGCCTCTGACAGCCCTACTACAGTTAGGAAAACTCTTGGGTATCTGACATGTACTCCGCCTCCTGGGTTTTCCTTTGGCCCCGGGGTCAAGCTGATCAACAACGCTGTCATCTACAAATGGTACCATATATCTCAGCAGGCCTTGCAAGTTATTCAGCAAACCTTGGCACAGGCCCTGCTTTTAAAATCCACTAGTTTAACAGAATTACAGATGTTTGTGTTGACCAGAGCTAAGGCAAGAGAAAACTAGCACAGGGTACACCCACATCTCTGATTTGGATTCTAACTTGCCTGAGGCAGTCACCAGAAAAAACACACATTTGAAAATGTTAAGTCCTTCCTTGTTAATGAGCACTGGTGGGGACTGAGCATCCCAAGTTCAGCATTCTTACAGGATTGCTTAAAGTTTCACTAATAAACTGGACAGGATCAACCCAGAACCAATGAGGAAACAGAAATGGTAACGGTAGGTTTAAGATCGGGCCAGGGGAACCCCTGAGTGACTAACGCTCCATAAACAAACGGCTAGCTTACCAGAAGGACACCAAGTGACACACGGGGCCTATTGCAGTTCAAGTTTTGGAGATGTGCCTACCAACAGTGTGGCATGGTTTGCTCATGTCGCTGTGGAACAAAGCAGAAGAGGTCCACTGGACTGCAGTCACCATTAGGCCAATGAAAGGCCATCTTTCAACTTACACCGATTTTGGACATCCCATCCCACATTACATGCAATTATGATGCCCATGCAGGCCAGATTCAATCACATCTTGCTACATTTTCATGAATCCATAGGCCACTGCCAACAGCCTAGCTTTTGGGTTATGAGAATACCAACCGGGCCCGACGCAGTAGCCTAGCGGCTAAAGTCTTCACCTTATAAGCACCAGGATTCCATGTGGGCACTGGTTCTAATTGTGGCAGCCCCACTTCCCACCCAGCTCCCTGCTTGTGACCTGGGAAAGCAGTCGATGACGGCCTAAAGCCTTGGGAACCTGCTCCTGCATGGGAGACCCAGAAGAAGCTCCTGGCTTCGGATCAGGGCAGCTCCAGCCCATGCGGCCACTTGGGGAGTGAATCGTCAGATGGAAGATCTTCCTCTCTGTCTCTCCTCCTCTCTGTATATCTGCCTTTCCAATGAAAATAAATAAACCTTTAAAAAAAATAGAGAACACTATCTGAGCAACTAGACTGCTCAAGGATCCCCTATTTGAAAACAAGGGTTAAAGCAACAGTTATCTGCCTATAAGCAACAAACGTCATTCATGTGGATAGTGAGGTTTCCAGGGCTGTTCCCATGAACTAATATCACATTTTGCTTTCTTAAAGACGTATTTATGTAAAAGAGTGACAGATACAGATGGAGAAACAGAGAGAGAGAGATCTTTGTGCTGATTCGCTCCTCATGTTTGCAGCAGCCGGGTTTGAACCAGGCCAAAAACAGTAACCAGGAACTCTCATCAGACAATCACCTGGGCTATCTTCTATTAGCAGACCCTGCATGGGAAGTCGAGCACGCGGACTGGATCAGCACTTCCGTTTGGGATGGGATGCCTGAGTCTCCAGAGAGCCTAGACTGTTGGACTACTTCAACCTTCACGTGCTTGCAGATGTTCCAATGGATTTCACTGACCAAGGACCCTTAGGTTCTAAGCAATACAACCATAGTTCATGCATTGTTACCAACAAGACAACGCAGCCCTTGAAAATGCACCAACCAACTCACAAAACAACCAAGCATTTTCATGTTTTATTGGTGGAAGCTGCAATCTGATTAGAACAGTACGGATACTGAACACCGACCCCAGCTCAGGGAAGCAGCACTGCAGCACGTGGCAAGGACACTGAGCTCGCTGTGAGAGGAGTGGACAGCACAGTAACGCACACTGCAGCTGTGAAAGCCTAACCCCAGCGTTCAACTATTTCTTTGTCACTCTTTGCTCCTAATCACTTTTTCCTTCTAGAATGCATATCCTAGGGGTGTTTTGGGGCTTAAGATGCTGCCACAGTAACCCAAAAAGAGCCCCTATCTCTAATCTAGAGGGTCTTCACCTAGATGCCTCCCCTCTATAGGAGTCAGAAGCAGAGGGATAAGATCAAGGACTATCTGAATGCTAGTCTCCTCTCATGGGACTGGGCATATCTGAACCTTCTACTTGACCTGGCAATGTCACATCATAAATATGGCATGTGACCTCCCTTACTACAATACTTGACTGAGGCTTTTAAAAGATTTATTTTATTTTTATTGGAAAGTCAGATCTACAGAGAGAAGGAACCGAAGAAAGGAAGATCTTCTGTCCAAAGTTTCACTGCCCAAGTGGCTGCAACGCTGGAGCTGAACTGATCTGAAGCCCTGAGCCTGGTGCTTCTTCCAGGTCCCCCATGTCGGTATAGGGTCCCAAGGCTTTGGGCTGTCCTCAACTGCTTTCCTAGGCCACAAGCAGGGAGCTGGATGGGAAGCAGGGCTGCCGGGATTAGAATCAGTGCCCATTTGGGATCCCAGAGCATGTAACGCAAGGACTTTAGCCTTGCCTTGGCTACTGTGCTGGGCCCTAGGCTTATTATGTTTTGATCATGCCATATAGGCAATGGGTCTACTCACAGTAGCGCTGGGACAGGCAAACAAATTGGATTGCTATACCAATTCAGCCCCACTCTATGTGATATTTAGGGACCCTCAAAGATCTTGGGAGTTACTTTTGCACAGGGAGCTAATCTGTCAATTGCTTTTTTCTATAAACATATGGCAAAAAAGGACAAGAAACCAATTTCCAAGCTGTGGCCACCAAAGCAGACCGAACAAAATGCTAGCTATGACAGTTAAAACCATAGTCTGTCAGAGACCACCGTGACCAGACACCCCTTCCAGAAGTAAACTACTGTTCCACCTTGTAACTTCACAGTCTGTACTAACAGACCCGAAGCCTGGCTTATAGAAACATGTGTGACTTCTGTCATACTGGAAATAGTGTCAAATACCCTGCTTTAACTTAATGGATTCTAGCACAATGCAACAGCAAAAACTAACAAAATTTTGATGGTAGTATGAAGTAGCATGTTGTTTGATTACATGTATGAGGAGTGTTCTAGAAGCAATGATGAAAAACAAGGACTCGACAGACACTAGTCTCCTGTGTTGCAGGAGCTTACCTAACAACTTGGTTCTAACAGGGCTATCTGCGTCAGGGAACGGCCTGGGCAGATGTTAGGGAAAAAAGCCAGGATTTTATGCCAGTCCTCTTCCAGAAACAGGATGGCCTTCAATGCTTTTCAGCATAGTGTTTAATGTTACCCCATGGCAGAAAGTCCAGGTCAGCCTGCTTTCTGTGTCCCTCAGCAGGGCTGCAAACAGAGCACATTCAAATGAGCTCTGATCTACCCCAGGCAGCTTCTCTAAGCAGATGGCAATAAACCCCTGGTTTCTGTTGCCCCTTGCTGCCTATCTGTAAAGAAGTCCTTTCCACAGAGCAAGTTATACCTGAGGATACTTTGTCATACTGGACTCGAGACAAGTTGATAACCAACACACAATAAAACAACTTCACAGAGCTCAGGGAAAGAGTTCAGTAGAGTTACAGATTTGGAAGACACACCATGTGGACAGTATTTAGAGCTCCAGGCTCGATGAGATCACCTGAGACCTAAGTGCAAGCATTCTGAGCACCGGCCTTGGGACAGGCTAACACACAGAGATCAGAAAGAAAGCAGGAGGAAAAAAAAATGCAGAATCTGTTGCTTCCATGTGGGAAGTCTAAGTACCTGACTAGATTAGGAAGGGGAAAAAATGAACTAAAGCAAGGCAGTCCTTCCCGAGAGCTTGATGAGCTGTGTTTTAAAAACAAAGAGCAGCGAAAGGAACACATCTGACAAACTACTATCAACTGCTGGTGAGACAGCTATATCATATCACCTCGCTTTGACAATTTGTCTGAAATTAGATCCAACCGATTCTTAAGTCGGTAATTGTTATTTATGCGAAGTTATTTCTATTCTAATAGAACAGTATAAAGATAGACTTCACTTTATGAAGTTGATATTTTTCTCAATGGTCAAATATATCTCTTCACTAAGAATCACCCTCAAGAAAATTTCCATAAGCAACAATCACAAAACTAGTCACCGAACTGCACAGCTTTCATTCCTTCACCATGAATATCTCCTCCTACCCCTCAGATCACCTCCTCCAAGTGTCATTCCCAGTCCTACCCACTGAAACAGCGTGTCTGAACAAGCTCTCCTTGCACCACTAATGTGAATTTCTCCACTGGAATTTTACATTTACTATTTATTTGAACAAAATCAAGCCTCGCCCACAACTATTATGTCTATATTACCCTTCCTTCCAAAGACTTACTTATCCTTCTTTTGTCAGAGAACTTTTCAAGAGTAACCTACACTCATTCTTAAATTTTTCCATCCTGTGAGAACATGAAAAAACCCTAATCTGGGTAACAGGTGATTGGTCCTTGAAACACTTTTTTCATTTTGCCTCAGTACCACTTGTTGGCACAATTTTCCTAATTTACCTATTCATTTTTTTCTGTCCTCCAACTTCTACATGTTTAAGTAATCATGTTTAAGCCTTCAAAACTTTGACCTCTTCTCTCTCTACTTATACAAATACACACTAATACTCCTGATAATTTCACCTAGTCTTCTGGATTTCAGCATCATTTTTACACTCACAATCCCTAAATCTGTATTCTTAGCCTGGATTTACCAGACACACGCTTACCTCATCAACAAGCCTGTTACTTCCATGCTGTACTTATTTTCCCCCAATCAAATATTCTCCTTTTCACTATCTAAGCTCATGGCAACTTTTTTGTTTCAATACCTACCCAACATACAATCCTACACCATAGCCCTCCTCCTCCAAACACTAAAGTCCGAGCTTTACCTTTTTCCCTCCATATCAGTTGTCATTATGTCGTGCTATTTGCTTCCCTTACATACCTTCTTACTTCCCCACTGCACCACAAGGTAGGGACTTCTGATCATTTTTCCACTACTGTATTCCCAGCCCAAATACCAAAGGCCACACCACACACTCACTAGTCTAGTAGAATGGATAAAAGTACATTCGTGGCAACTAAATTACGCTTTTTATTCACTTACTTCAACCATGTTTTTTTCCAGCTCTTTGCGTTTGTTCTCTTCACTTGCCAGGTTTTTCTTCTTAAGGTCAAAAGCACTTTGGGACTTAGTATTAACTCGCTGAGCTTCGGCAAGAGCATCTTCCAAAGACCGGAGTACTCCTCCAATTTCCTATAATTAAATAGACTTTATTCAATAAAGCTACTTAATATACTGGTGCTGTCATTTTATTTTGTGATTTCTACAAAATATTTACTTTACATTCCATCATTCTACTTTAGGATGAACAAGGTAATACAGAAAGCAAAGCCCAGTGAATCCAAAATAACATTTGTAATGTACTAATTTGGGAGTATGTTATCTGCTTTAATTTACATATTCTAACCTTATCTTTTCTTGTTTCCAATTCTTCTATTTCATGATTAAGTGCCTTTATTTTTTTATCAGTCTCAGATAATTCTTCTTGAAGCTTTGTAATTTTATCCTGCATTTCTTTTAATTCCTCAGCTGAGCGATCTTTGGTATCTTCAGCCAGCAAAAACTGATAAGCAATATACAAACGACTCAAATGTTCTATTTCTCTCATTACTTTCTGGTACTCCAAATAGGAAGATCTTTCCTGAAAGAGAAGTCACCAATAAAGAAAAACCCAAAATTCATATTTTTAAACAAAACGGAAAAAATCAAACTAGAGAAGTACATATCAAATTCTTAGGACACAGAGATTTTGTTAGATGATAGTGACATATAAAACTTTAGAAAATTCAAAAAAACATCAGAACTATGGCTTTTTTAGATAGCATTAAGACATTTCTATGAATCCTATTAGTTAAGGAGCTGGGAATAACAAAAGAAACGTGGCCATGAGGTTCATAAACAGGTAATAACAATGTGCATAAAAAAATCTAATAAAGCATCTATACAGAAAAGCTACGGGGCCCAGCACGATAGCCTGCTTCTTACAGGGATCCCAAATGCGTGCAAGTTTGTGTCCCAGAAGCCCCACTTCCCATCCAGCTCCCTCTTGTGGCCTGGGAAAGCAGTAGAGGACAGCCCAAAACCGCGGGACCCTGCACCCGTGTGGAAGATGCAAAGGAGGCTCCTGGCTCCAGGCTTCAGATCAGCATAGTTCCAGCCATTGCGATCACTTGGGGAGTGAATCATTGGTTGGAAGATCTTCCTTTCTGACTCTCCTCCTCTTTGTATATCTGCCTTTCCAATAAAAATAAATAAATCTTAAAAAAAAAAAGCTGCACATCCACCATGCCATGTTACTATGCGTGTTGTAGCAATAGTACCACAGTGCCAATTAACATCCTCTGCAGCATTACCTCATGTGCTCACCCTCACAGCACTGAGCTTGACTCCGTAAGAGTCCACTGGCACAAAGTAACAACTAGGGACCTAGGCAGTGGCACAGCGCACTAACCCTCCACCCTATGGTGCCAGCACCCTATATGGGCACCAGTTCATATCCCAGCCACTCCGCTTCCCATCCAACTCCCTGCTTATGACCTGGGAAAGCAGTGGAGGACAGCCCAAGTCCTTGGGCCCCTGAACGCACATGGGAGACCTGGAGGAAGCTCTTGGCTTCTGGCTTTGGATTGGCTTAGCTCTGACTATTGCACTCATTAGGGGAATGAAACAGCAAATGAAAAACCTGTCTTGATCTCTCCTTCCCTCTGTAAAAACATGCCTTTAAAAATAATAATCATCTTAAAAAAAAAACCTGAATTCATATTTATACATGAAGAAACAATTCTTTGAGATGATCTGTCTATATTGTTAGAAAAAAGGTATCAATGTCAGTTCTGAAACCTAAATTTAAACCCTTGATCACCTTCAAAACCCCCAAATTTTTCCAATATCTACACTATTATAGGACTCTAAAAACAGCTCTGAGTAGTACCAACATTTAATGAATATTTAATAAGTTATTAAACACATACCTTAAAAATTAACACACTTAAGAAGGCCACTCTAAATTTCCCAAGTTTTATGATGTCAAGAGCTTTAAAGATCAGAGAAAGTCCAATAGACGGTTTCAATATTTCACTACAAAATGCCTCGACAGCAATAATTACCGATGATCCTCGACATCTTCCCATTAACCCACCCTATTAACATTCATTACCGGGGAGGGGTACTAAAAACACTGTCTTTAACATCACTTGTTCCTATTAATTTTAATTATCCAGGAAAATCAAAACTTCTTTCTCTTCAATAAAACATTAATATCTGGCATACAGTTATCTGAGATTATAAATATCATTGTCCAAAACCACTATGACTTAATAAATATTAAGAACTTAGCCTCACGTGCTCGCTTGGGCAGCACATATCCTAAGAACACAGCCTCTGAAAGCAGAAGATTGAATTATAGAGGACTAAATGTAACTCTTTATCTCATCCCACAAATACTCAAGATGTGTTACACACACTTCATCCCTACATTTGACTTTAGACACAGCACCAACTTTGAGACATGATAATGACTGGCTTCACATATGCAGTATATACCTCTTTCAGTTTTTGAATGGTTGGAGTAATTTCTTCTTCAAGTATCTAGAAAATAAAAGAAAATAAGTATTTTCAGGACATAATCTATCCTCAAAACATTTTTTACAAAAGAAATTATGCAGAAGATTCTGGAAAACAAACAAAATTGTCCCTCTCTTTACAAGCAGAAAACCCAAACGGAAAGTTACAATCTTCTTCAAAAATGTTAATGACTTTAATTACCGTCTTAATTTCTTTCAGTTTAGCTTCTTTTTTTTCTATAGTTTTCTGGGCAGCTATTTTTTTGTATTCATACATCCTGGTTCCAGCTGCTTCTTCTATCATGGATAAAATCTGAAATGACAATTAATGTTCTCAGATTCTTCAACAATATTTCTAGCTAGAATCTGCTCAAGTATGTTATTACAGCTCTTGCCTCAAAAAGCAACAAAGCTAACAGTCCTAGTAGACAATAAAAGTTGAATAGGTTAAAAAAAAAACAAAACATATGCATATATTAAGAGGCAATTTGCACAGGGTTAAGATTCATCAGTTAGGAACCTTAGTCTCATACTGTAACGCTCGGGTTGAGTTCTAGCATCATTTCCAAATCCTACTTCCTATATGCACATCACAGGAGGCAGAAGATGACAGCTAGTGTGCAGCGTTCCAGCGCCTGACAAGGATAGAAACAGAGTTTTGGAAAAGTGGCTGATGCCTGGCCTATCTGGGGTGTTATCAGCATTCAGGGGAGTGAATCAGCAGAAGAAAGATCTCTCAAATACTAGAGTTTAACAAATATATGCATTGTTAACTATTTCTAATATCTAAGAAAAGTTTCTAGTCTTGACTCCTATTCTAAAATCAAACTTTGTTTTCTGGGATTCATCTCTTAAAGGTGAAGTCAAAATCTGCCATTTTCTAGCCCTGAGTAATTCCCCAGCATTAATTTCTGTTGCTTTTCTCAGAGGCACTGGCCTGCTCAGTGGTCAACTCGTCGGGACGAGATGGAAATAGTGTCCACAGCCACAGTTCCTTATTACTGCAGAGATGATTTCTACTTGGGCGGAAAAAACCTGAAAATACTCCTGTTCCCTCCCCCTGCCACTGCAGACAAGGTGGGTGGTCTGGATGTCAATAGTAAAGCCAAAACTACTGAGTTTAAGACAAAAGCACCTTGTAATTTCATAAAGCAGCTGGTCGCTTTAGGAAAGAAATTTAGAGGGGTCAGTGAGGTGGCTTAACTAGCTAAACTTCAGCCTGTAGCTCTACCCCAATGCTTCACTTCCCTTTCAGCTCCCTGCTGATTGCCTAGGAAAGCAGCAGATGACGGCCCAAAGCCTTGGGTCTCTGAACCCACAAGGGAGACCTGTGTCCTGACTGGCTCAGCTCTTTGCAGCCATTTGGCGGGGTGGAGGGTGGGGGGAATAAACCAGCAGATACAAGAGATCTGTGTCTTTCTTCTATAAATTTGCGTTTTCAGTAAACATATATTTAAAGAAATAGAAAAAAAAGTACAGAGTTAACAGCTAACAACATGCAGAAGCTTTGTTTTCTATGAGAAATCAATTTTTTAGTTACCAGTAACACAGAATAATGTGCTAAAACATGGCATGGAAGGTGTACATGTGGGAAACGGAAAAAAAAAAAAGAACCACACAAAACAGAAGACGAATTTACAGTAGAAAATAATAATATAGTTCAGGAAGCAGTTAAGAGTTGGACAACAGGTTTATAAAACCATGAGAAGAAAAGAACACATACAAGAAGCAACAAGCCTCTGTCAGAGCCTGAAACTGTTAAAGGAGGTGAAGCGGAGAATGCTAAAACAGAAGACTATAACGTGAGCTGTGAGAATGTTAAATCGACTCCACACCAGTAAACCTCTGCAGAGGCATAAAGGCACAGCAGCATGAGGGCTGAACGAAGCTGGAATCACTTTGGGGAAGCTACAACAGGCAGCACTGGATGCTGTGGAAAGAAAATCTGTTTTTGGAGCTGACATCCAAGAGCGCAGAGAAAAGGAGGTCAGAAGAAGCAGAGAAGCAACTGAGAATACAGAAGTCAGTAAAGGACTCAGGCAGAAGTGCGGCCTACTGTCACTGCAGAAAAGCAGGACACTGCAGCGCAGGCAAAGGCAGAGCCAACAGATGCAGGGAACCAGTGAAGTATGTGCACACGAACCAGAGGACCAATGAGACAGAAAAGGCTGTTCTGCAACAACGGTGCAGTTAGTGGGTTGTCGGATGCAGGGTTCTTCTGACCCTCAGATTTTTGCAGAGCTGACAGAAAGGCAAAAGATGACTCAAAACCATTTCCTAGTTAGGAAGTTAAGCTGTGCATGCAAAGTAAGGGGCATCAGGAGATGGATGTCAGATCAAGACAGCCTGCTGAGAAATCATACAAAGTGAAATCACACTAAGTTACAGCAGCTGCTAATGAAGAGCTACAAGATGGACGAGGATTAAGACATGGAAGGCTCAAGGAAGAATAAAGAAAATCACAAGACTGAAGAAACAACCCATGAAGCAGATCTTAAAAATAAGTCTCTTCAAGAAAATTAAAAGAAAGTATTGAAGACCTAGAACTTTGCCTGAGATACGCTGGACTTAGCAAAGATCATTTTAAAAAGGCTAAAAAGTGAAGAAGCAGTACCTTATGCTACACAGGAACATCTCGAACTCGCAGAAGGTGGCATGTGGCAATTACGTTCAAGCTGTAGAAGAGTTCCAGGTGCAGCTAAGCCTGTACAAGCAGCACCTGGAAGCCCACGATTGGCCGCCTGCAGTGACCCACTACCTGTTGGAGTTGGTTTATGGCTACAACTCTCAGTACGATCAGACGGTGGCACAGTTCAGCCAATGTACTGATGCCATTGAGAAGAAAATGGCTTTACTGTACAAACAGATGGAGGAGGTCGAAGGACCGACCACCTAGTGACCACAGCAAAGAGATTGAGGAGCCCAAAGAATTGCCCCCGAAGTGAGGGAAAACAGCAGACACAAAGGAACCCGAGCATAATGGCAATGCAGCCGAGTAAGCTCTGAAAGCTTCTCCGGGGAAGTTCCACTTGGCTTCCACTCCCAAGGGAAGAGGTTCCTCAGCCTCACGACTGCCAGGAGCCAACAAGCAGCCGTCTTCACCAGGTTGTGTGGCTGACGTTTCCCACCCTGTCAGAACAGAGAGGAAAGCAACAGAGGAAAGTCCAGGAAAATGCTGCGTGAAAGCCAAGCAGGAGGCAGAGGTGGTCGGAGGCAAGGATGATCTCCCCGGTGGAAGAGAAGTGTCAGAAAACAGGTGGCTGAGAATCACAGAAAGCTGGGCTGCAGGGGAGGACAGCGCGGGCGGAAGCAACAGCTGACGGCACTGCACGTGAAGACGAGGCACAGGCAGAGCCCTTTTACCAGCTGAAAGCATTTCTGCGTAATGTCTCCACTTCTGGGGTATTCATTTTGTGCTTTTGTACCATGTCAACAAAGTTTGTAAGCAGGAAAAAAAGTTAAATACCTTAACAAGCCTTTTTTTTTATAATATCTAGACCTTAAATACAATCTAAAAAGAATAAAGCAAAGGCCAGCAAGGTGACTTTCACTGTGGAAGTTTGCATTTACAATTCTTTTCCAGCCAGCCCTTCAGTGCCAGTGAGGTTGAAGCAGAGCCTAACACTGGACTCCTAACTGCACCATAGGCTTTAAGGACTTGGACATACAATTTTCTCTGTGCCTCAGTTCCTTCACCCAAAGCCCCTATGGTATCTCATAGCATCATTCAGAATTAAGTAAAACACGTGAAAAGCGTGCTCAACACTAATTTTATATGGACTATGTGTGATGTTCCTCCTTTCTCCAGTGCTTCTATTCATGACTGATTCACACCACAAGAGGACTTCTTTCTGCTCTGGAAGCCAATACGTTTACTATTCGCAAGTTTTCAAATCAGAAATTTCCTGGGGCTAGCACTGTGGCACAGTGAATTAAATCGCACTTGTGACGCTGGCAAACCATGACCCGAGCAGCAGACACCCATGCACTTGGGCTCCCGCCACCCACACGAGGACACAGATCTCATCCACAGTTCCTGGCTTCTAGTTCCTCCCAGCCCAGATCTGGCAGCTGGAGCTACTGCAGCACTGCACCAGCAGACGGAGCATCACGTGTGTACCCTCATTCTTGCACCCTGTCTTCTCCCAAATAATTGGAAGTTTCCATCTAAGACATAGGAAATCTTTCCTCTGCCAAGACCATTTGGATACTTGTAACATCTCTGTGGGCCAGACAAAACTACCAACTTAAAAGGTATTCTGCAACAGACCTAATGAATTCTGATTTCCACCTGCAGTTATCCTGGAATGATCTTGTGAGCCTAACACAGCCTACTGGACAGTCCCCACTCCTGCCCTAAATATCATACAAATAAAGTGAGACTATGCTCTGATACAGATTGCTACTATTATTTAGTAGTCTCCATCTCAGCTATTCTTAATAGAAAGATAAATAATACTCATTGTCTCATATCAACTCTTTTGAAGTGGCGCCAAAAGAAATTATATCCTAAAGCCTTATGCAAGTTATTGTATGTAACACATTAATTTCACACAGACTGATTTCTCCAGAAGTTCTCTATAGGAATTAGTCCACGTCATGATTAAAGTTAATTTGTGTGAAATTACTATATTTACCATCTATACACAGTTCTCTTACCTCTGGAGGCTTCATATTTAAAACTTTTGTAATTCGGCCCTGAAAATAAAATGGCAAGCTTGTTATTAAAATTAGAGACAATATAACCTAAACGCTTTCTGTCTATATGTAATGAAGGTATTGTATTTCAATATCCCCATCATTGGAAAGATCTTTACTCTATCCATACATAAAGGCTTTTGTTAAGATCTGGGACCAAAGGTACTTTACAATTTCAGAACTTTGGAACTCTGTTGTCTCACTTTCTCTCATAACAGTGATACAAACTACCTAAATTATCAAATGATAAAATGGAACTATTTGTTAACTGATACAAACTCAGACCGTTAATGATATGTACAATTCTAATGCCACTATATATATAAGCTTTAGAATAATATGCATTTTTTTAAACAGCCCTCAAACATAATTTGATGAAACAGACAACACAGTTCTAGACTGCAGAAAGAATAAAATATTCTAATGCCAGAAAAATCACAAAATTCACTACCAAAACAAAACAAAACCTGTTTGTCAGGCTTCAGAAAATCACACTGCTCAGATACATGAAGGAAACAATATGGAAATAGTCTTACCCACTTTTCTATAGCCCTTGAACCTTTTTACCGTAATTAACTATGTAAAGATAGTCAAAAATATAATAAAAAATTAAAAAAAAAAAAAAGAAAATCACACTGCTTAGATGTAGATTCACTTGAAATAAATTCTCCAACTATAAAATTTGTGACGTATGGGAAAAATTTTTATTTTTGTTTGGTATGTAGCAAATGTCGCCTAAGTTTATGTGGTAGGAGGTAGGGCCTAATTAAGAAGCAGTTAAGATTAATTACAATGTCATCATCACAAGAGCACGAGGGTTTTAGAAGTGAGATTAGCTTTTCTTGATTGTTTGCTATTCATCACGGATGATCAGCTCATATTAGAACCAACGACACATCTCTGAGCATCCCAACCTTCTGTGCAATGAGCTAACAAGTTATCTACTGTTTATAAATTACCCAGTGACATTACAGTAGGAACACCAGATGGACTAAGACTCTGCCCACCAGGATCCCACCACTGCAACCATGACTTTTCTATAACTCCTTCAAAAGATAAAAGACTCAAGTGAAATATCTAAATACAAAACATTAACCTTCACTTTCACTTGGACAGATTTCTAAAAAAACAAAAAAAAAGGGAAACTTATTCAAACTTACATACTTTAAATACTAAAATGCTTTCATCAATTCAATAACTTATGGTAACTTTTCAAATCAGCTTGTATTGTTTTTGTAGTCCCATAAAATAAAATTAAGGAACATTGTTTCTAGACATTCTTCAGAACTTAAATGTATAAAATATGACAGAACATATCAATACAACTGGCTAAACCAAACCACATTTCTTAACAAGTGTCAAAATACAGCATAAGTAAAAAAAAAAAAAAAAAAAAACCAGATCTACCAGATCTACAAAAGACATTCAATATTAAAGGATGTCAAAATCATTGTGAAGGAGATACCAAGACCCGCCCGCACACTCTGGCACCCCGATACCTGCATGATGAGAAAGTGGGGGTTGTTAACATTAAGACCAACAGAACAGAAGAGATCTTGTACTCTGGTGTTGTTTGCGTTTACTCCATTGATTAAATATTTATTTCTGCCACCAATAACCACCTAAAATGGAAGCATTTAAGAAATATAAATATATAAGCACATCTTATGCCAATATGGTAAATAACTAGTATACTACCTTTCCTTTATTTGTCCCGCCCTTTAACTAATAATAAATGAAGGTAATGCTAACTAAACAGTGAAGGGTGACACAATTAAAAATGCAACACTAATCTGAGTGAGAGCAGCCAGCCTCTGATCCAGGCACTTTGTGAACAAATTATGTCACCACATGCAAGCAGCCTGACTTCCCCTGCTGAGATCTTCCAGCTTTGAGTCTCCAAGAATGTATATAACATATTAGTAACAGAATATAGACTACTGCTGTCTGTGCAGTGGTGCAGAAGCTAATCCTCCATCCTGGGTACCAATCCCATATGGGCACCAGTTTGTGTCCCAACTTCTATACTTCCGACTCAGCTCTCTGCCAATGTTCCTGGGCATGCAGCACAGGCCAAAGCACCCTAACTGGGACACCCAGAAGCAGTTCCTGGCTCTCAGCTTTGGATCAGCTCAGCTCTGGTCACTGTAGCCTCTTGGGAAATAAATCAGCAGATGGAATAACCTCTGCACCTTACTTTCTCTGTAAAAACCTACGTTTCAAATTAAATATTAAAAATAAAGCGGGGGTGAAGGAGGGGGGCCTGATAAATAGGTCATCTAATTTACACTTGATTTTTTTTTTAAAGATTTATTTACTTATTGGAAAGTTAGATATACAGAAAGGAGGAGAGACAGGGAGGAAGATCTTCCGTCCAATGATTCACTCCCCAAGTGAGCACAACAGCTGATGCTATGCCGATCCGAAGCCAGGAACTTCTTCCAGGTCTCCCACATGGGTGCAGGGTCCCAAGGCTTTGGGCCGTCCTCGACTGCTTTCCCAGGCCACAAGCAGGGAGCTGGACGGGAAGCAGAGCTGCCGGGATTAGCACCGGCGCCCATATGGGATGCTGGAGCATTCAAGGCAAGGACTTTAGCTGCTAGGCCATTGCGCCAGGCCCTTTACACTTGATCTTAATTTACATGATTTGTCACTGAAATGTCATCACACAGCATGTGACTGTGTAAGGAAGATATTCTCAAGGAATCTTAACATTATTTGATGCAACACTTGTGTTCAGGAACTTTTTCTCTCCCCTACGCTTTTCGTAAAGTCCTAGCCCCCAAACACATGAGACATCAAAATGCCTACCAGGCCTGCAGGTTTGGTTGCCACTCACCTGCCTTGTTACTGTGATTTCATCATGAACTTCAAATCCTAAAGGACTTTGCTTTTTGTCAGAATTGTCAAAGGTGATTGACACTGAAGCTTTTGTAATACCAGCCTGTCCATTTTTGTAAACCAAATCTTGCAAATTTGAAGCTCGCACCTAAAATAAACATTTTTCAATTATAAAACTGCACACTGCACAAGTAGCACTAGAAATGAGCTTGTTGCTCGTGGAAATTTCACCCATGAAGTATCCATTAAGTAGGTAAGTAAGCCCGGCTCATCCACCTTGTGGAAACTGGGTAACCACTTGTAACGAATGGGTAACTTTCTCAAAGAACACTAACAATTCTGAATTGTTTCCCACTCATTTCTTAACCAAATCTGAGAGACCTTAAGATAAACAGTGCCTATGAATTTCACTAGTCATCCGATCCATTAGAAGAGCATCAAAAGGCTTTGATGAACACAGGCAGGGAAGAACAATTCCTGAAAGACACCCTCCTCAAGGTGAAAATGTTTGAATTTGGATGTTACTCCCAATATCTTTATAGGCTGGGCATACTTAATTCAGCCTTTTCTTTTCTTATTTAGTAGAAGGAATCAGAAATACTTCAGAGCAGAAGCGCAAATAACGAGAATATTGGCAATGATTCCCAAGCTCATGAACAAGTCACTTGTCAAGCTTAAGTTTCTATAAACCAGAAGGCTGACATTTTACCTGAGACAGGTTTGAAATGCCTAGCAGGAAGCAGATGGAGTCCAGGATGTTAGACTTGCCACTACCATTTAAACCGGTGATGGCATTGAAGAGCGGGTCAAAGCCATTGACCTCGGTCCTCTGCGCATAGGACTTGAATCCTTCGAGAATGATGGACTTAATGTGCATTTTCAGGACTGTCTTGTGCAGGCAAACCTCCGGCAAGGGTCAAAGTGGTGACAAAATAGTTCTGGACAAAACAGAGAACTCCACGTAAGTGGGATGCAAACCCGGCAGTGAACCCCAGATTCAAACAAGAGCAGAGCATCAGAAGCAAGCGAGCCGGTTGCCCAACCACTCTTCCGTAAATATGTGTAATCCACTTAGCAAAGAGCCACGGCCTGGAAGCGAAGCCGTTCACCCTGGGCTGCCCTTCCACTCTGCTCCTCCGACTAGCAAAGCCCAGCGCTTGCATCACGCCTCATTCTCTCTGTCCACTGTTCTGCTGCTACCGCAGGCTCCCTCCTTTGCTGCTCTCGGGTCTGTTACAAGTGTCACCTCGGCGGGGTTCTTTCTGGGGCACCTCCACCCAGACCCTCCGTTGGCTTTTTCCTCGGCGACCAATAAAAGCGGACACGAACCAACTCAACTCGTCAATTAAGCATCTCGACTAACTTCTACCGCCGCACCCCCGACTACGACGAGGAGTTGTTTACGCATTCTCCTTCTTAATGCAGTCACTACATTCCCATTCTCCGCAGCTCTCTCCGGACTTTCCGACCACACTTCTCGAGCCCCGCCAAGCCCGCACACACACCTGCCTCTCCTCCCTCATCACCTCCTGCAGCCGGGGTCCAGCCCGCTCTGTCCCGCCTGGACCTCAGGCCGGGCCCGGGCAGCCGCGCACCCGCACCTGCCTTGCCGCTGCCTCCTGGGCTCCAGACGCCCGCACAGCCCTTCCCGAACAGCAGGGCGGCGAGGAGTGAACCGACTCTGCCGCGTTCCGGAACTACGAAGCAAACCAGGCCATAGCGCCTTCCCCGCCAGCCATCACACCCCAACCCCCGCGCCGGAACTATTTATTCCTTTGAATTTCGGCGCGAGCAAAGGACCCCACCTTCACGGCTTCTCTCCTCTGTTGGTGCCTAGGGACTGCCTGATTCGGGAGGTTTCCGCTTTTCCCTCCATTCCAGTCACAATAGGGACGCCACAATAGTAAACAAAGAGTGCTGACACAGAATATTGACGGCGAGGCCCAGATACATGAAGAAGACGGCGCTACGTGCTGACCAACGGCAGCAGGCACCTCGGCGGGCAGCCCCCAGGCTCCAGCCTCGGGGCCTCGCGCCTCCTCCGGCCCGCCCCGCCTCAGGCCCCTTCCGGCCGCCGGCTGCCGGGCTGGGCGGGCTAGCGGGGCAGAGGCTGAGCTGTCGGAGCCAGGGAGCGGAGCCCGGGGGTCGGGAAGTTCGCCATCTCCGAGGGGCTCCGCGCCTTCTGTGGAGAACCAGGAGGCGCTGGCCTTCCGGGAGCTCCTGCTGAGGCTCTCCCTGCGTTTTCGGCTCCTTTGCGAGGCTTGCAGGGAAAATAAAAGTAGCTTTGAGCTTTTCTGCAGCCGGAAGAAGAATGGGAAGGGGAGTCGGGGTGCTAGTCAGGCGTGGTGTTTGGGAACTGTGTCATTATAACCAGTGACGACCCATATTGCAAGCATTTTTCTAGAAACCCCTGACGGCGGCTGATAGTTAATTGTGGTTTTGTGTATCAGGCTGTGTTACAGTGGTTGTTTTAAAATCAGCCGTGCAGCCCTGTGAAACTCCTGATATTGTTCTCATTTTACAGAGTCACATAAAAGTGAAGCAGTACATGTAAATGGTTAAGGAACTTGGATTTTCACAGGTAGTTTAGTTCGAGCACACGTGGCCTGCAAGTCCTGGGCTGTGTATTCTACTGAATTAGAAAGTGGCTAGTCCCGGAATCGGGTGGTGTTGCTGTCCTAGCCGAGGTCCCAAAAAACTGTGTGCCTCATATACTCTTGTTTGGAGTCAGTCCTTGGGAACTTGTATTATAAAATAGCTCCCCCATAGACTGGTTAGCTGATGCACTCCGGAAATGGTTCCTCACTGTTCTGAGACTGGGACATTCGAGATCCAGGTTTCAGCTAGTGTCATGTCTGGCTGTTGTAGGACAGCGCCTTCAGAAGAGGAGCATCCTTGGCTTGGCTTAGCATGGCAGTTGACCCCCTTCAGGACCTCTGACGGCCCCAGCTACTGTTAGCACTTTAGGGGTCTATTGTGTGGTTGTGGGGAACCGTTTTAGGCCAGAGTATGGGGCACCTAGTTCAAGTTGCTTCCTTGGGCCTGGAATGTGGTCATTTAAACCAGATTTTCACTACCAACAGTGGGCCCTGTGTTTTGAGGTGTTTCAATCTAAGGGAGTAAAGATTGTCGTACAAGGTTTTTCTGTTAGTTTGATGACTTGATTTTACATATTCTGCCACGTGCCCCACTTCTGTGATGTTAGCAGTAGGTGCTTCATGAAGGACAATTTAAGCAGTTATATTTGCCTGTCCTGACTGCTATATACGCTGTTATTTATTTATATTGTTTCCATTAATCTTACCCTTTTATTTTCTGCTGTCTTCTGCTATCACTTCGTGAGTCAAGAATTTTAACTTGGTGACAAATGCTAATGTGCATTTTATCAAACTAAAATAACCTATTGTTTAAATGAAAACACAAGTGTTTAGACATCATTAGACCTTGCATTTACTTCAGTACATTAAAAAACTAACATGTGCTTCAGTCAAATGAAAACTTACATGCAAATGCACTTTTGTTGCATAAGTACTTTTCCATAGTTATAAGAATGAATGGAGGCAATCTAATTACTCCTATTAAAACTATTACAGTGAAAATCGCTTACAAAGCTAGTATCAGTACATGCCAGAAACACTAAGGAATTTCTGCTCAAATAGTACAGGCCTTGAAGAAAATCAGTAATGAGTGAATTAACTGTCCTCTGAGTTCACCACAGGTAAGGGTCCACCAAGGCCCAACGCCAGGAACACCTTCTAATTTCGATAGGAGATGGCTGGATGCAGGGACAGACTGCTCGTTACATTTAGTAGAAGTGATGCACTGTTCTTGCTTCATCTCTCGGATCAAAAGCTTTTGAAAGCCTCAGTACTGTCAGGTAGTGTTTAAGCCAAACAGAAATCTGTCAGGCTAGTGATTCTTAGTTCTCATGTGGGAGGTAGCATCACCAGCAAAAACACAGATAAAGCCAGGGCCTTGGAGAAAGATTTGTTCTATTCTCCCAGGGCACTGCGAGGGAGCCTGTCTTTTTCTAAGTGTACTTTTGTAATTTTAGAGTTTGAAAGTAGCTTTTAGAGTGGACAGAGTGAATCCTCTCTGTGGAATTTAAGACACTTTAAAAGACTTTATTTCAAAAAGAAGGAAGGGATGATTCCTCTTATTGAAATATTGAAGATTTAAAGAGATAGGTTGATAATATGGGAAATTCATGTTTTAAATTGTATTAACAAAATCTTCAATATTTTATTTCTGCCACAATATTATTTGAACTGTATTGACCAAGTGTAAACTGTGCGACAAACTTAAGGGGAAACGGCGAAGTAAAATTTAAAACTAGGAATGGATAAGGAAGTAATTATTCATCTATGAGATTTGGTTAACCCATTTAATTTCATTCATGATATTGTTTTTAAAACTATAAGTTCCCATTAGTTCATCTATGTACTCATTCGTCATAATCTGTACTATTAAGTCAATGATTATCTTTTAAATTTGTATTTATTTGATATGCAGAGATATAGAGAAAAAGAATCCCTCTGTGCTGTTCATTCCCCACCTGCCAGCAATGGCCAGAACACTGAAGCCAGGAACCGGTCTCCCATTGGCACCATCACAGGGTGATGGTTAGCAGAAAGCTGGAACTGGGAGCAGAGCAGACCTACTGGACTCCAGGCACTCTGCCTAGAAGATGAATCGTTAGACCAAACATGCACCCACGATTCTCTTCCTTTTCAGGTAGTTTTGTAATTTCTAACATTTGAATTCCTAACTGCCTCACTGACAGCATGTGCAGACCCCCAGTCATAGTCATTTCTGTCCTGTGATGCTTTTCTTCAGTGATCTTATTTTGTCTTTGGGATCTCTCATGCCCTGAGGTGTGAACGAGTCCCTTCAGAGCAATTATGCATTTGCCTCTGCCAACATTCTTTGGCTTTTAAAGATCCTGGAACACTTAAAAGTGATGATTTCTCAGCTTGTGGTTCCCGAGTTATGCAGATACTGTAAATTTAGATCTGTTGTGGGACTGGCAATTTTCATTTCTCACAAGTACCTTCTTGCAACTCCTTTCTCCGTCATTTAAAATGTCCTTACCTGTTCCTTGGATTAGCGGATGGAATTTGCTTGGCAATTGGTTATGCCATTTGGTCTTTCTCCTAAGTGAGCTCCTTTGCCTCAATGAAGTTATAAACCATATATTTTGATGTCAGAATGTAACCACCAGCTCCTTGAGGTGTATGACCAAATACTTAAAGTATTAGGCATCATGGTGTTAATTCTTGCTTTCTACTCTTCAGTCTTTCAATTTGTTTCTGGTACCAGAAATTGTGTTTTTTGTGGTTTTGGTTTTGATTTTGTGGCTCTATGTATTTTATAATAGTTACATTTTATGCAGTGTTTCCATGACTTTAAAAAGGAAGACTCAATCCACCCTGTTGGTGGAGGTCTTCTCATTTGCTTTAACGAACATTAGCAATCTTGTTTGGCTCCTGTTGGGTCTTGCTTACAGATTCCCATATTTAAAACATAAAGCAGCTTTTCCTGAGCATTAGTTATCACTTCACTAAAATGTCCCCGTTACTGACATCAGCATGGTGGACTGAAGTAGATCTTTATTTTCAAACCGTAAAGCAAGGACTCAGGCAGTTAACAATCCTACCTAAAGAATTAGGGGTTGGGAATCTTACCTGTTGAAGCTGGGCTTGACTTGTGTTAATCAACTGATGGGTTGTTCGCACTGTTTATGGCCTGATTTTAATTGTTCAGTGGTAGGCTGGCCAGCATGTGCTCTGAAAGTGCTCTGTAGGTAAGATGAATTCCTGATTATTTGGAGTCTCCATGCTAACTATTCTTACTTTTAACAATGCTTAGGATTTCTATAAAACATCTCAAAACAGGGCCTAGTGGCAAGATGTTGAGTATAGAATGGAACAGTAAACTTTAGATCTTGGTGATCT